AGACGACTCTTCAGTCGACCACCACCGGTAATTCGCCCAGAAATACCACCGAGAGCACAAACAGAACTGCCTAACAGTGGGCACCGACCCTCCAACGAAAGAGGAAATCCTGAATGCGATCAAGCTGCTGAAGTCCAGAAAGGCAGCATGACCTGATGTCAGCGAACTCTTAGAAACTGTCGGTGTCCAGCTCTCACTACACCGGACCTCACGCTGTCCCTGGAAGACTTTCAGAAACAGTGTGTAATAACCAACGCGAAAAACCAGAACACAGATTGCCGACTCGAGAATCCTTTATTCTTACGCCAATGTGTAACCAACAATAAGGTTATTACACACAGGGTCTAAGAATAAAATGTTATAACAATAAATCACGAAAATAATTCTGATAGTTTTTATCTTCTACTGAACAGCGAACGCTGAAACGATGACTGCTGGATTGATGAATCCCGCGAAAAATATAGAGGAGTTGTGTTTGAGGAAACAACCATGAATTGATCGTTCAATCTCCAACTACATTGACACCCGATGTCATTCCTTTCGAAGCAACAAGGATGGCCCCAGAGGTTACGGCAGATATTCTCATTCCATTAAAGTAAAAGGTTTCGAAAGAAAACAGTTCCTGTGAATTGGAAGAAGGGTTTCTCGTCAAACTGCCAAAGAAGGGTTGTCCAGGCCTGTGAAAGAACTGAAGTGGAATAATGCTAATGTCCACACCAAGTCACCCCGAAGAGAATAAAGAATGCACTGGATACAGAACTCCGCCAACTAGGACAAGCTGGGTTCATGATCAAGCTGCAACTCGACGCAACATCATCGAACAAAGCATAGAATGGCAGTCAAACCTGTATCTTAGCTTCATTGACTTCAAAAAGGCCTTCGGCAGACAGTGTTGACCGAGAAGTAATTTGGAGACTAATTCAACAACTACGGCGTATAGCACTTCAAGTCTTCATGAACCCCATTCCATAGCTGGTTATATGACGATGCGTGCCATGTGTCAGGTGATCCACAACGGAAAACTCAGCGGCGTCCTTGAATTCAGGAATAGTACAGGGCTGCCTATTATCACCAAAGATCATGTTCCTAATCGTGGTGAACTGAACTATGAGTCAGATTGTGAGTGGGAGCGAGGAGACAGGAATACGTCGGACCACCGATAAGAAGACTTTAGAAGATCTGGATTTCACATGTGTATGATATAAATCTAATTTCAAAAAAGCTCAAAGACTTAGGGGCAGGTGAAAACCAGTACACCGGCTGAAGATGTAGGTAGCGAAAACAGGACTACAAGTGAACACAGAGAGGACGGAGGTGATGAAGATGATCAACCAACCTGCCAGAAACAAAAACTAGCGCCAACCACCATCAACGGGAGGGATATAACGGAGATTACATGCGTCACTTGTCTGGGAATCATCATTTCAACTACAGGCGGATGGCACGGATGAAGATGTCAAAGCCAGCCAGAACCGGAAAGGCGAGATTGGCCTTCATCAAACTGAAACCAGTTTGGAAATCTACACTCAGCATAAGAAACAAGATTCGGATTTTCAACACCAAAGTCTACTTGGCTCTTCTAAGCGGGTCAGAAACTTGCTCTGCGTGCCAAGAAAAGGATTTCCAGCAGGCTGCAGGTGTTCATCAACGGTCGACTTCACTGGCTCCACACTGAAGACCAAATGGCCAGAAAGAATAAGTAACAAGAAACTTCGGGAACAAACCGGAAGGCGAGAGCCAATCGTTCAACAAACATGTGAGAGAAAATGGAGATGGATCAGGCATACATCGAGGAGGTCGCCAAATGACATCGCATGCAAGGCTCTCAAGTTTGGTCCAAATGGGAAGCGATGAGTGGGTCACCAGTACGAGGTTGACATGGAGGAGATTGTGTGTTAAGGAGATGAAATATTATGGCCAGTCGTGGACCTGGCTGGAGAGGATGGTAGGAAACAGAACAAAGTGGAGATGCGTTATTAAAGGTCTATGTTCCACAAGGAACGCATAGGAATATTAATATTAACATCTATGGATTCACTTTCAGAAGTTAACTTGGTGGTAGAATACACTAAAGTTCTTGAATGGTCTAGGTTTTAGAAATTGGCTTGCGAAAAGCTATTGTGAAACATCAGATATCACTAATGACAGTCGGGAGGACCCCGATTCAGAAAGCAACCACGATAATGCCGGTGTCAATGTAGTTGAAGATTGAACGATCAATTCATGGTTGTTTGCTCAAAACCAACTTCCCCATTATTTTCGCGGGTGACCAATCTGCCAGTCATCGTCTCACTGGTCGCTGCTCAGAAAGAACCTAGAAAAAACTGTCAGAAATAATATCTTGATTTATTATTGTAGTATTGGTTCACAGACCTTAGTTTATTATGCTGCTTATATGTTGGTGTTAGAATAAAGAATTCTCGAGTCGTCAATCGGTGTTCTGGTTTTTGCGTCCGTTAGTACTAAGCACTTCCGAAAGGCTTCGAGGGACAGTGAGAGGCCCGGCGTAGCAAGAGCTGGGCATCAACGGTTTTTTTGACGTGGTTTACAGCCGGCTTGCTGAAAAATTAGACTCCTACACGAAGAGTGAATGCTGATCACTTTTATCACAAAAGAAGTATTTTTTTATCCTCTTTCCTCTGTAATATCAGACGCCCTGGGTGATCTCATATGGGCTTTTTTCATCTCAGCAATCGATACGTAAATTAATTTATACCGTTTACTTATTCTCTGCAGGACTTATGGCTGCTGAGTAAAGGACTGTGATTGGTAGTCGCGTTAACTTGGAAAAACCTTATGCCGCCTTTGGAGAAACAACTGCCAACACTTGAAAGTATTGGCAGTAAGCTTAACGTATGAAACTTTGTCACGCGCCGAGTAGACATATCAAACCTCAGAGGCGGCGAAATAGCCACCTACCTTACGTGCAAGCTGGCTTTGGGTAGCACTATAGGCTATCACAGGCGGAAGTTGATCACATCAACTTATCCACTGTGGACTAATGTGTTGAGACGAGACACATAACCCAACACCCCTTACCGTTGAAAAGAACCGACTACGGTATTCCCACCTTAAAATGTGTGGCTGCTGCAGTATCTCATGCAGAAACCTATACTCAATTAAAATTATGCGACGTTGACACAAGTGCAACCTTGTCGAACCACTGAACTCGAGAGTTCACACACAAGCTGTGTGGAGTCAATCCAAGCAACTTTGCACTTGAGCAACCCAATGGTACACACGATAGACTGTGCCCAGTGGTCCAGAACATTACAGGAACACGGAGATTTGTGGACTGCCTAAATGTGATCACGCGCGCTAGATCGTGTTCATAACCCTAGGAAATTAAGAAGCCTGCAAGCTGTACGTTGTGGCCAAAAATAAATTCCTTTTGGTAGTTGATCGGCAACAGATTAAATTCGAAGTATATCTAGCTGAAGACATAACAAAACAGCCGGAGGAATGATTTCGTTACATGAAGCTCAGTAGTGAGACATTTAATGGGGTGTCTGAAATGGTTAATGACCCAGATACAATACAGGGAGATCAACAGATAGGTAAGGCAGTTTCGAATGACTTCCGCAGAGTTGTTTTACGAGGATTGCATCATCAGCTCTGACCGCGTTGCCAGAAAACGGGACAAGTTCTTCTTACACCGCCCAAAATGTCGTAGTCTAATGCCTAATCAAACTAGAAACAAGTGAATCAGTAGGAGTCAGTGATCTTTACCTGCATTTTCCTAAAGCGCTGGCAACCGGCCAGCGGACTACTGTGTCCATGCCATTCCTCTTGCACGGAGTATCGCCGCCTGAATGGAAGGATGAGATTCTAACCCCCATATGTGTGGGAGTACAGTCCTTTAAACTACAGGTTCCTCAGTCCAAATACTATCTCGATTAAGATAATGAAGGGATATTTGAAGAACTACTGTTTGTTATCCAAATTATGCAATAATCTCCACAAGAACTCTCAAATCTGACATCAGGAGAATGCAGGCTAGAGTCTAGGAATAACAAAAAACATACTGACATCGTCTTCATAGATTTCGAAAGAGCTCTTGATGAGACTTTCCATGGACAGTTGTTCATGAGATTGGAATAATTCCGGGCAGTAGGTGACCTGTGTTATCGGATAAGAAAATATTTTGCAGCGCTTTTCATAGAAAATGGCAGATAATGGTGTACCAGAATGCACTGCACTCATTCCATTTATATCCACACTTTTAGAGGTTGACGGTATAGACGTTCGCGAACAGTACTGAGCATATTAACGCAAGATCTTATACCAACAACTTCTTACTTATTTGATTCTCGTGTACCAAAGGCAAAGCGAAATACCACAATTAATTGTCCAAATTACGGGATATACTTCGGAACCAAATCGCGGATTGAAGCGGAAGCTAAGCTAGCCAGTTACCGTGCACGAAAGTGACACGACGGAGTACCAAATGGGGGGGGATGCTTGACGGTAAGCCTGCAGCTAAGCAAGTCGACTTAAACTCTAAGGGTCAGCACCCAATGTTCACTGATGATTCTTATGGTCACGGTTCAATTCTTCTCTTAGACATAATCTATTCCTATGATAAATAATTTCGGCGAATTATTTACCGCTACACGATATATAAACGAATTTCCTGGGTTCATCATTTACCCTGTGGGGTACAAGTTTTTCTGTCAAGTTATTTATTCTTTATATAAGCCACCAAAAGAAGTTGTGAATGCATTGTAAGTAGACTCATTGAAGAATAAAGTAATCAAGCACAAATACTTATTGGAAAAGAATAAGTTTCCATTTGAGACCTACTATCCCTAGCCAACGTTCTAAAACCTGAAATCTTTTGAAGTCATCATCCTAGACTTCAAAAAGATCAAAGTCATCCTATTTCGCTTGGTAGTGGGCTAAATAGTGTAATTCTGTAGCTCCAATAACCCCAGATGATTTCTTCGAAAGCAAAGGTGAGCCTAAGTATTGGTGCAGTCGATATCCCATTTATGTTAAGTGGTTATGAGGTTTTACTCCTCAAATTCTGAGAGAAGTTAATATCATTCCAGTATTATTCGACTTTTAACAAGACAGCTTGGAAAAATTTAAGGTTAATTGGCACTTGTGACCTTGTGGTAGCCAAACGCGCGCTCACGCAATCATGCCGAGAAGGTATATTGTGGTTCTTTTTTGATTCTATGTAGATCTTATAGAAACGGGAGTCCATCAAGACCACAGGTTCGTCCTCATTCGACGTTGCCGGCTCGTCCACCCCCATCAGTCCCTGCACATCCTCCAGCACAAACCAAACAACCCGGTTTGATGGGTCAAATGGCTGCAACGGCTGGTGGTGTGGCTGTTGGATCAGTGATCGGCAATGCCATCACAGGAGCATTTTCCGGCGGAAGTGGTGGGAGTACACCACAAGTTGCTTCAGAGCAATCAGGTTCAACTCAGTTACAAAACCCATGCCAGTATCACATTGATGAACTAGTTCGTTGTGCTCAAAGCCAGAGCGATATAAGCGCCTGTAGTGGCCTCTCAGAGGCCTTAAAAGAGTGTAGCCGTCAGTACGGGTTGTACCGTTAACTTTTGTGCAAAAATTCATTTTTAACTCGTTTCATTTGTGATTGATATCATTCCTTAGTCTGGATGTAGACATAGTATTCGTTTGAGTAAAGTTTCATTTTAAATTGCTTCTTTTTATATTGTATGGGCTATCTCTCACTGACATTTGTTTCCTGTGATGTTAATATATGTTCCTGACATTTGCAGTAATAAGAAACCGTAGTCATGGGACATATAGAGCGATCTGTGGGGAAAACCTTTGGTCAAATGTTTCCAAGTGAAAATCTGAGAGTAGTAGCGAACATAAATTTACGACATCTACACCTCCTATATTGCGGAACGCCAGGAAATTCTGTGGGGTAAACATCTGACAGAATATCTGGCAAATTATTTTCAAATGGAATGAATATAAATACTTGCTGTTGACTAGCATGGGTTGGGCGCACAATTGGTATGCCAATGGGGGTGGGGAGGGTGTAGCTGATTGGCCTTACTATTCGACTTGCAGTTAGGTAATTAAGTTGCGTTTAGAATAGTGGCAGCATACATTGTCTAAGTGACGCTGTTAAAATGGAGAATTATTTCGTTGTTCTACCCTTTTTAATATGCTAGAGCGCGATTCTTGTCACGTGTTTACTGATCATGTTTATTTTGGAGCAAGAAGTATCCATGTCGCAGATTGGTTTAGCAGGAAAATAAGGTGAAAGTTGAAGTGTTTCCATCTTAACAAATCAGTATATGCTAATAATGCATTAGGCTTCGTTATGTTAAGTAATTGGACTAGTTAAAATGTTTAGGTCATTGATTACCTGATGCTTTACTACTGCCAATAAAGGTAGAATATTCGAGGAGTCTATTTTGCATGCATTCTCAAATGGTACCACTGCCCACAATATCTTGACTGTATGAAAAATGTGGAGAAGAAATCACATTCATATTTTCCCAAGTTCTAACTATATTTTCACATATGAAGTTGTCTCACCTTGTCGTATTTTCATGAACGCATTGTGTCCCTCAACCAGTGTCGTACTAAACTATGAAAATCCTCTGAGAGTGGAAATCCCTCACAGAAAATTTTAGCCTTTACAAAGTTGAATTCATTCCTGTTCGTATTATTAGCTATTAACGTATACTGTGTAAATTGAGAAAATATCTCGCGTATTTCGTGATGTCATGCCTCATATTTCTATGAGAAATTCAGACCATCTGTGCGTTAGCAAATGTCGGTCGCTTTCACGAGACTTAATTTGAAATACTTTCGATGCTGACTATACAAATGTTTTGTGTGTAAATATGTGGGTATCGGAGGTTCACTGAGTGACATTAGTACAAGCACCAGTCACGATTTGCTGTTGTATTCATTTGACTGTATGCTCGGCTTATTACCTTTCAAACAGAATGTGTACGCAGGTTTATTATTACTGACATGGGTAGGGTGTTTAATTTAAGTTTTAGTGGGAAGCGAATGTAACTTATTAGCCTTGGTACTCAACTTTTCACCGAAGGAATCGGGTTTTGAGTTCCACTTCGATTGCGTCTGTCTACTACTCTTACAAATATATCTGGTAACTGAGTGTATGAAAATTATGTCCAGTGGAGGTGTGTGGTGTCAACCACAAAGTGTAAGAATTTTGAAGGGTCTATAATTAGGTTTGGTGCAGTGTTGATCAACTCTGAATTATAGTTTTAAACCTGGAGATGGGATTAATTAATTGAAGGATCGTTCACTAATGGGATTCTGTTTCGAGATCGCACTCAGTCGGTAACGGTGGTGATACGTTTCATTATGCAAGTGACACTAACAAAGTGGAAAATCGCTGGTCTTTGTTCTACTTATTTTCTTTGTTGTAACTTCATGAATTCCTTTTAGATTTCGTGATATAAGCACCTTTTATAAATAGCTCTTCGGATGCACTTTCTTATGGAGTGTGCTTGTCGATTTTATCGTTATCATGTTATCATATGTTTTTCCATCAATTTCTCTGTTCTCTTTCTGTTTACTTTTGATATGTATTTATGCTTTGTTCCCTAAATTATTTTGCTGTTTTGCAAACTTGTAGTTTTCCTACGTAGACTTACTGGCTGTTTGAGGCTAACATTTCTTATATATTCTTGTGGGACAGATTGTCACTTGCGTCTCACTTCTAATCAGTTTTTATGTGGTTGATTTAATAATTGTGATTTGGTTTTTCAACTAGGGATTTGACGCTTTTTGTCGCCATATTCCCTAGTTTACTTGTGTACGTGGTGAACCTATGTTTGGTAGACTTTTTTTGCCGAATAAATATCTTTTAAACCTCACAAACCTACTTTTTCACGTGGTATTTTATTCCTTTTACGTAGTATATCGAACTGAAATGGAATATTTTGCACTTTGATTGTACACTATCTCTAATTTTCAGAAAATACTGGAAATAATCAGTGATTAGATTTATTTGAGCAATGTAGAAACGATTAACAATATAGGAATTTGTTTATTTAAATGTCAATTATTTTAGAGTAATCACTAAAACAATGCTTGAAGTGTAAATAATCTAGCGGGAATACTGCTATTTATGCACAGAAAATCGGTGAAATTGGTAATTACAGGTGGGAATTGCCATCTATCTGGGTGCATTAAAGGTTTTTTCGCACCCTTGATTAATGACCAGGAGAACGGTGGCAGGTCATCATAGGTCGGTCCACTGATTGCGATCATGTTGAGCTATAAAAGTCAAAAGGTAGGGTGTTAATAATGAAAAAAAGTAATTAAAAATATTGTACTCTATAATTGATAAGAAAGTCCCCATATTATTGTTAAGAAAGGCTTCTCAGTGTTCGAATTCCGGCGTACGATGTTTCGGTCATGTAATTATAAGTTTGGTAGACCACACCATACCGAAGGAAAATTAACGTTATATATGTGCTCTGTAGTCGTGCTTGTAGGATTAACTACAACAAAGTATGCTTCGAAGCATTATTCAGTGTTCTAGCTCTCGTTTTATTGTGTATGTGCGTTTACCAGGAATAGTAAAGTCGTATTGAAGCTTGAATAACACCAAGCAGCCCCCATCTTTATTCTTATCTCTATAATAAGTGCATTACTGGCCTAGCTATTCAGTTTATCAGTAAGGAGTATTCCACAAGTTATCTGTGAACTATGTGATTCTATGGCATGTTTCACTAGCCATTTACATTGCCAGTAGAGGTATTGTTTCAATTCAGTGGTGCACATTACGACCCTATACTATAAATCAAACAAGAAAAGGTAGTAGTGGTATTAGCGAGTGATGCGCCTATCACAAACTAACACATTTTCTCATAATACCAAACAAAAACTTGGCACCAGTCAATGAAATCCACAACAGTTGGTCTAAGCCACGTAGGAAGGTGTAGACTTCCAGGCTGGGGTCCTCGGGATGGTAAAACTCTATGGTTGGAAACAATTGGTGACATGGCTCAAAATCGTTCTCAGTGGCGCAGATGCATCCACTCCTTGTGACTTATGATCTCCAACGAAACTGTGTTTTTCTTCGTTATTACTCCTTTGTCTCACACCTCTGCTCACTGTCTCTATTATGCTTTTCTTGTACTTTCTTCTCTTGCTTCGCGTGCTACACGGAGTGTGGCGACTTGAACTTCCGCACATTTGTGCAAAGTTCTATGTCGAAAACAGACAGACAATACCGTAGTGAGTTAACCTAGATTGCTAAAATTTTGTTTTTTTTCTAAGAGAACCTTAATAACATCACAATTGAGTGATTGAAAAACTTGAGAAGTAAGAAAAGTCTTTGCAGACCACGTTGTATGCGTAACATTTTCACTCAATATGGCATTCTTCTCAACCGTGTCATGTGAATCTTTAAAGATTTACACTTCATTATTATACTGTACCATTCAAAGTGGTAACTAACTTCAGTCTTAATGAACCTGATTTTCCACTTTTTCGTACATTAAGTAACTCCCCTTGATTTGTTCCTATGTACTTTCAGCAAGTGCATTTAAGTTTCCTATATCCTACACTGGCATACAGGTATAACGAATAGCTATACACTTTATTATTATAAGCAAGAATTATAACCATTTCAGTGTGTAAGATTTCTTGAACTTGTTTAAATTTATCTAAACAAAATAATTGAGCAAAGAATATCCTTTTCGATAATTTCCTCTGCTGGCTCAACAATTATGTATATGTTTATATACATAGAATACTCTAGAATAATAGTCAATAACAATATTTGTGTCTTTTAAATAATATCGATTTGTTAAGTAAGATCAACGCAATTACAGTTCATTTAAGATGCTTAAATAACAAAAATAATAAAGATATAGTAACAAATAGAATATCTACTAAAATTAGGCAAATCCACAAAAATTCAGGATCATTCGAATTCAGATGGCTGAGGTAAAGACAATGTTTGAACTAGCTTTGTTTGAACACAAATTAGACTTCTTAATGTGGATCCCCACAGCCAGCCCCAGCAATATTTAGCAAACGAACTCCTAAGGCGAAGTTAAGATTTTTTAGTATGCGGTAAATGACTTTGAAAGCCTGGCTGAGATCAGTCTTGTGTTCTGTATCCATAAGATGAGATAGAATAGCGTTACGAATAGATTTTGTTTGTCCTTTACCACACAGGGTGATGTTTAAAAGAGAATGTTCATCGGGACAGGGTATGTTTAATAATTTACTCTAACAAACAAACTGTAACCTAATCATCATTTGAACCTTTGCGTCCTAGCTTTGAATGTCGCTAGACTTACTTCGGTTTGATCCACCAGGTAGTATGAACAGTGTTCATACGAAGTGTTGCTCATGGCCTACTGCATTGGAAAGTATGATCTGTACAGGGTAGCCAGGTTCCAAATATACAACACTGTGTGATTTATAAAAATAAAATCTTATCCAAACGGAGTTATGCCATACCACAGTGCCCAAGTTTTATACTTATATCAACAAGCACATATCTAACTAACTTGATTAATCATTGATAAATCCACAATTTTCGCGTCTGTTCCCCGGCTAAACGATAAGCCCACGATGGGACTGGATAATAACCATTAGGATCATTCAGTTCATGCCTTGATGATATTGCATTGCTACTTGTATATGGAGGTTTACAAGGACATAGAGATAGTGGATCACGCGTAAAATCATTATATCTGAAAGGAAATATGCATATTCAGTTCGAATATAAGTAGAAAGTAATATGGTTTTGGCAAGAATTACAGATATCTGAGTAACTTCACTTAATTTGTTTATTATTCACTCTAAGCGTAGGACAGGACTCCAGGTGAACATAGACAAGACGGAGGTTATGAAAATAACCAACCAACAACAACAGCAGAAACATCCAGCGCCAATCACCATCAACGGGAGGGATTTGAAAGAGGTTACTTGATTCACTTATCTAGGGAGCATTGTCTCAACTACAAGAGGGACGGCCGAGGATGTCAAATCCAGCGAGAATCGGGGAGTTAAGCGAGAAACACATTCATCAACCTGAAATCAATCTGGAAATCTTCGTCACTCACCATCAACAAAAAAATCCAGTCGGATTTTCAATACAAACGTCAAGTCAGTCAGTTCTTCTATACAGATCAGAAACTTGGCGGGCGGGTCACAAAGAATATTTCCAACAGCCTTTATCAACTAACAACTGTCTTCGCTGGATCTATACTGAAGATTAGATGGCTGGGCCGGAAAGAATCACCACCAACAGGAAACTATGGCTGGGAACAAACAAAACAAGAACCAATCGCCAACCAACAAATATGCAGGAGAAAATAGAGATGGATTGGACACTCGCTGAGGAGACCGCTGGGTGACATCGCGCGCACGTCAGGTCATTGCTTGAGTGGGACGTCAGTGCAAGGGTGACATGGAGGAGATCGTGTGAAGAGGAGTTGAAACAGTATGGACTAACATGTATGCAGGTGAAAAGTAGAGTAGAAGACAGAAACAAGTTAAGACGTACAGTTCAAGCCCTACGTTCCACTAAGAACCCAAGCGAACAATGATAATAATAATACTAACCTCATAAGCTTCATCATACTTGGAAAATCAACAACTTTGTGATGATCACGACGGAAAATGTTCGCCCTTGCTGTCATGTTATGCACAAACCAAGGCCCATACTTTTTCGCCATATCTTCTGTTCCACTCATTACATATATGTCCCTAATATATCTGTATATCAATATAGAGAGAATGTAAAATTTAGTAAGAATTGCAGGATCTCAACTGTTTTATGCTAATAGTAAATGATAATGTTATTGGCAAAAATTAAACATTCACAATAATATACACAATCAGAACTTAATGGTAAATGATTGAATAAAAAGTCTATGTTCACTCTACCTATTATGTTGTGAAAATACCCCTAAAAACTAAGATTCAAATCTTAGCCTAACACAGAAATGTTGGTTTAGGACAGATTTTATAGCTTTAAGATTTGAGTGGTATTGCTTATTGGTCTAGGCGCTTGGTTTCTAACCAGTGGGTTACGAGTCCGAATCCCGTTCCACCTACCGAGTTTTAGGAAGCCAGGTAGTATCAGTAGCCTTCACACAATAAGTTTGGTTCATTGCCAGCTGTATAGCTGATTTCAAATGGTCGTTAAGTAACATTTAATTTTCAACGTTTTGACCGAATGTTAGTGTCGTCCTGTAGGTTGTTGCAGTCATCATATCATTTCTCACAGTCGTATTCGCTTTGTTGACTGTAGTTCTGTTGACTGTAGCCACTGAATTTTTATCAGTAAAGAATTAAGAGCACTTATTTTTTATTATAGCTTGATTCCACACCATATTTTTCGGTACATGTATGGAATTTTCAGCATGTGATATCGGTAGCCCAAATTTTGCAAGCCGACCATAAATATCAGGTGTGCGTCGGCAGGGGATCGAACCCGGACCATGTCCATGGTTGGCAAAAGTTCTAACCACTGTGCCATCGACGCACACTTATATCTGATAAGTGATGCTGCAACAAAACAGCACATTAGTTATTTCTTCAAGCTGAATAAATGTGTCATGCATCTAATATGGAAATACTTAAAATCGATTTGAAGTGAAATATGATCGTTAAAACGGTAGAATTATCACTTACGGTAAATTATAACTAGCCCAATAGCTTTGAGATTTCAATATATTTGTCACATCAAGACTTTCCACTATTCCACTAGAAAATAAAATTGATCAAAAATGTTGATACCAACTAGATTCTGTAAATTACTCATTTCGAGTTAGGAGCAATGCAAAAATAAGTTAGGCCAAAATGTGAAATTAACATGATTTATATAGCAACAAAAATAATTAGGCCAAGGTTTATTTTCATTTCAAAATCGTGAGTGTGAAAGTCGTCCTATGCATAGTACTGATTAGCAGTGAGAGTAACACATTACTTGCTTGTGTGGCAAAAGTTTCCTAAACACTTAGATCATTTGCGAGAAAAAGTTGATCTCAATTCAACTAATTACATATACAAGAGAATCTATTTCTTACGGTGTTCATGGTCCTAATGAGAAAGGCTCATTTGGATGACAAAAATCCTCTATAGAAGTTCTTCAACTATTCTTTTAAGTAGGCAGTGTGTGTTGTATTTCTCGTGCACTTCCAGACTTGACGCTGGAGTCAAGCACTTTTCATAGTACCTTTCGATGGAAGGCACAATCAAAAATGTATTTGCATCTTACATATTCATAGGGTTCCATCGCTCATTGAATCAAACCCAAGTATGAATGCTGTGTCTTTGACCTGAATTCGGTGTAGCAACAATAAGTTATTCTGACGAGGCGCCATATGATACATCAGGATATAGAGTTCTCTCGTCACCGTCACTTTGTTAGGTAGGGCGTATTTATAGAACACTGAAATGCTTTGTACTTGTTATGTTCTAGTTTCCCCGTCGCCAAATTGTTATGTTCTAGTTTTCCCCGTCGCCAAATTGTTATGTACTCGTCGCTGAATTATTGTTATGGACTGGTCGAGAAATTAATAGCCCTGACGCGAGAAGGCGGAAATCAGAAGACCACTAGGTTTGCGATGATACTTCTATTGTCCAAACACAAGGAGACGAAAATAAATGGTCTCACACCAAAGTGGTAAGTAAGTAAAGTAAAAGTAGTAAAGTAAAGTAGTTCAGACAGACAACAAGATGGGATCGCAATGGGATCTCCACTGGGCCCATTACTAGCAGACTGCTTCATGGCAAGCCTCGAGAATGGCCCACTCAAATCAACCATCGACAATTTCCAGTTGTACGTTAGATATGTTGACGACATCTTTATCATCTGTGATGACGGTCACGATCTCAATCAACTACTGCAAATATTCAACAAATGCCATCCAGCCACAAATTTCACTTTGGAAACTGAAAATGAATCTAAAATCCCTTTTCTTGATGTCGAGCTTACAAGGAGAGATGACGGAACTTTAAGAAGGTCAATCTATAGGAAACCGACTTGGAACGGACAATTAACAAGTTTCTACAGCTGGGTACCAATCAGTCGGAAAAGAAACCTAATTAAATCCCTTGCCACTCGCGTCAGACGCATCTGCAGCTCCGACACCATGGAAGAAGAACTAAACTTCCTGAAAGAAATCTTCATACAAAATGGCTACCCACCAAGATTTGTAGAGAAAAACATCAAACAGAAAAACCAAAAGCAAGAGACACTATCCGTGCCGAAAAAGATACTTTATATGAACCTAGACTTCAAAGGAGACCTATTTAGTGACGTCCTCAGAAGGAGAATTTCCACCTCTTTAGGAAGAACTTTCCCTGCGGCAACACTAAGAATAGTGTTCTCCAGTCGCCCGCTGATCTGCAGAAACCCAAAGGACAAGATTCCGCACATGACCACTTCTATGTGTATATATCAGTTCACCTGTTGCTGTGGAGCCAGGTACATCGGTCGTTCAACGCGCATCCTGTCTAAAAGGGTAAAAGAACACTATCCAGCGTGGCTACAGAAAGGAAATAATGGCCATATAAGGAGTGCAATAATCGAACATCTCGTCAATACTGGTCATTCCATCTCAACGAACGCCTCCTTCAAAGTAATCTACAAAGTGAAGAACAACCTTCCAAAGACAGTACGATTCCGTCTTCTTTGCATCGCAGAAGCCCTAGCCATCCAGTTGGAGGAACCAGAACTATGCATACAAAAGAAAATTATCCAACCACTTTTACTCGCATGGTAACTACTCCTTTGATTTGACCTAACTTTTCTTTGTTTGTTTGATTTGACCTTACTTCTGTTTGTATGCTTATTTTTCTAACTTAAAACCCTTGTGTAATTCTGTATATTATTTTGTTTCCATGTACACCCTTTGAGCACAACTCATTCATCAAACTATTCATGCCATTACGTAACTCTTATTTAACAATCATTTATGACAACTCATCACTTTTGTTGCTATCCTCTTATCAACATCCAATTCATCTGAACCTACTAATTGTATTTTCGTTTGACAAATTTAAAGTATACACACACACACAAAATAACCATATATATTTGCGATTCTACAGCTTTGAAAATGAATTCGCCGAAAAGAGACTCTTCGCTGAACTACTTGTCTTCTGTCTACTAAAGTACTTCACACAAATTGTGAATGCGAATATATATAAATAATTCAGACAAGCGTGGGAAAAATCATTAGACAGTCTTAACATGAATGGCTAATTATAATGGAGTGTCGATCCAATTATACATAGCGAATATAGCAGACATGCCAACAAACATATATGGATATATGTCACCAAGCAACGGACTGTCAACAAACACTCATATTATATATAATATAATATAAGGAGAATACACATTATTAAAGGAGACAAGTCCATACAAGTGAAGTGGTCACAGACTAACCGAGCAAACAGAAAGAGAGACCAACATGCACACACACACATAAATATATATATGTGGATACATATCACCTCCCCTTTTGAGAAGATGAATGATTAGTAGGATGTTTACCTGGGGGTTTATCTGGGACCTTTGGGCTTGTTGTTGACGCCTGTCGTTTCGTCTGATTGTTGGGTTTGCGGCTTCGGCTCCGTCCGGAATTGTCTAGCATTTTATGCTTCTTCACTGTATTGCGTAGAGAATTTAGTGGGACATCAGCCAGATGCAAACGATCGAACCAATCAAGTCCCAAAACATTTAAATCATTCTTCGTGACGTAACAAATTCCTGTGAATTTGGTATTGCGGAAGGAAACAGAACATTTGAGTTCACCAATTAGTTTGAGCCGCCCACCACAGGCGCTGAGAAGAGACTGGGAAGTATTGGTGATAGGTGGTCTGCCAATATAATTCCAAAGTTTCTCTGATATAACAGTAATATCAGAGGCAGTATCTAGCTGCAGACGAGTATCATGACCATTCATCTGAAGGTCAATATATTTCCGCATAGCTGGTGTTGTGACTTGACAGGTTGCACGTAGACTCAGTGATCTTTTTGGAGATTTAGGACCGACATTTTGTTGAGCTTTTGCTGGATTATGATATCTGGGTTTGCGTGGCTGACAAAAACCATTTTTATGACCGATGATTTTGCACTTGCTGCAACGATGATTTTTGTATGGGCAAGACTTTACAAAGTGCCACGCGCCACAATGCCAGCATGGTGATGGTGGGGTCTTCTTTGCAGTATTTTGTGAAGTTGGACGAGTATGTGTAGATTTCCGCGGAACATTAGAGAAGTAGGTGGGTCAGGAGTAGCTGATGAGAGATTTTTGCTCTTTCGTAATGCACGAATATCAGAGCTTCTCGGAGGTGTTGATTCGACCAAGTGTGTGTCTTTCTGCAGATTAATCAGCCGTTGATATTCATCAGCTATGTCATGTAATGTTAACTTGGGATTTTGTTCTAGCTGATTGAGCAGTCGAGTTCGGATATCTGTGAAACGAGGAGATTGGAGACTGCATATGAGAATCAAGGCTTTGAACTGATCATCTGTTAAGGACCTGAGTCGAAATCTCTCACATTCTCGGTTGACTGTGCCAACGTGAGTAAGAAAATCATCATTTTCATTCATTGCCAGCTTGAGGCAACGATAACGTATACTGAATAATGAGGAGTGGTCTCCGAAATGTTCACGCAGCAACTTTATTGTATCATCGAAACAATTGTCACGTGGTTTCTGTGGTAAAATTAGGTTGCAGTACCGTTCATATTCTGCCGGACCCAATTTACGTAGCAAAACTCGCACCTTCCAGGCATCGTCTTGTGAGGCGAGATCAACAGTGAATAAATCCTCATAACGTTGATACCATGTGTCAAAAGTGACATTAGCCTCTGGGTCATAATTGAACTGTGAAATACTGTTCACAATTCCGTCGACAGATGGTAGCATGGTATGATTGGGATTGCTTGAAGGTGAAGCTGGACCAGTCTGTTGGTTGACGAACATTTCCATTAATTTCAATTGTTGTTCAAACAATAATTCCAATTTAGAATAATCCATAGTAAATTGTTATGTTGCTGCTGCTGAGTGGTTAATAGTAGTTTTCCCCGTCGCCAAATTGTTATGTACTCCCCGTCGCCAAATTGTTATGTACTCGTCGCTGAATTATTGTTATGGACTGGTCGAGAAACTAATAGTCCTGACGCGAGAAGGCGGAAATCAGAAGACCACTAGGTTTGCGATGATACTTCTATTGTCCAAACACAAGGAGACGAAAATAAATGGTCTCACACCAAAGTGGTAAGTAAGTAAAGTAGTAGTAAAGTAAAGTAGTTCACACAAATTGTGAATGCGAATATATATAAATAATTCAGACAAGCGTGGGAAAAATCATTAGACAGTCTTAACATGAATGGCTAATTATAATGGAGTGTCGATCCAATTATACATAGCGAATATAGCAGACATGCCAACAAACATATATGGATATATGTCACCAAGCAACGGACTGTCAACAAACACTCATATTATATATAATATAATATAAGGAGAATACACATTATTAAAGGAGACAAGTCCATACAAGTGAAGTGGTCACAGACTAACCGAGCAAACAGAAAGAGAGACCAACATGCACACACACACATAAATATATATATGTGGATACATATCACCTCCCCTTTTGAGAAGATGAATGATTAGTAGGATGTTTACCTGGGGGTTTATCTGGGACCTTTGGGCTTGTTGTTGACGCCTGTCGTTTCGTCTGATTGTTGGGTTTGCGGCTTCGGCTCCGTCCGGAATTGTCTAGCATTTTATGCTTCTTCACTGTATTGCGTAGAGAATTTAGTGGGACATCAGCCAGATGCAAACGATCGAACCAATCAAGTCCCAAAACATTTAAATCATTCTTCGTGACGTAACAAATTCCTGTGAATTTGGTATTGCGGAAGGAAACAGAACATTTGAGTTCACCAATTAGTTTGAGCCGCCCACCACAGGCGCTGAGAAGAGACTGGGAAGTATTGGTGATAGGTGGTCTGCCAATATAATTCCAAAGTTTCTCTGATATAACAGTAATATCAGAGGCAGTATCTAGCTGCAGACGAGTATCATGACCATTCATCTGAAGGTCAATATATTTCCGCATAGCTGGTGTTGTGACTTGACAGGTTGCACGTAGACTCAGTGATCTTTTTGGAGATTTAGGACCGACATTTTGTTGAGCTTTTGCTGGATTATGATATCTGGGTTTGCGTGGCTGACAAAAACCATTTTTATGACCGATGATTTTGCACTTGCTGCAACGATGATTTTTGTATGGGCAAGACTTTACAAAGTGCCACGCGCCACAATGCCAGCATGGTGATGGTGGGGTCTTCTTTGCAGTATTTTGTGAAGTTGGACGAGTATGTGTAGATTTCCGCGGAACATTAGGAGAAGTAGGTGGGTCAGGAGTAGCTGATGAGAGATTTTTGCTCTTTCGTAATGCACGAATATCAGAGCTTCTCGGAGGTGTTGATTCGACCAAGTGTGTGTCTTTCTGCAGATTAATCAGCCGTTGATATTCATCAGCTATGTCATGTAATGTTAACTTGGGATTTTGTTCTAGCTGATTGAGCAGTCGAGTTCGGATATCTGTGAAACGAGGAGATTGGAGACTGCATATGAGAATCAAGGCTTTGAACTGATCATCTGTTAAGGACCTGAGTCGAAATCTCTCACATTCTCGGTTGACTGTGCCAACGTGAGTAAGAAAATCATCATTTTCATTCATTGCCAGCTTGAGGCAACGATAACGTATACTGAATAATGAGGAGTGGTCTCCGAAATGTTCACGCAGCAACTTTATTGTATCATCGAAACAATTGTCACGTGGTTTCTGTGGTAAAATTAGGTTGCAGTACCGTTCATATTCTGCCGGACCCAATTTACGTAGCAAAACTCGCACCTTCCAGGCATCGTCTTGTGAGGCGAGATCAACAGTGAATAAATCCTCATAACGTTGATACCATGTGTCAAAAGTGACATTAGCCTCTGGGTCATAATTGAACTGTGAAATACTGTTCACAATTCCGTCGACAGATGGTAGCATGGTATGATTGGGATTGCTTGAAGGTGAAGCTGGACCAGTCTGTTGGTTGACGAACATTTCCATTAATTTCAATTGTTGTTCAAACAATAATTCCAATTTAGAATAATCCATAGTAAATTGTTATGTTGCTGCTGCTGAGTGGTTAATAGTAGTTTTCCCCGTCGCCAAATTGTTATGTACTCCCCGTCGCCAAATTGTTATGTACTCGTCGCTGAATTATTGTTATGGACTGGTCGAGAAACTAATAGTCCTGACGCGAGAAGGCGGAAATCAGAAGACCACTAGGTTTGCGATGATACTTCTATTGTCCAAACACAAGGAGACGAAAATAAATGGTCTCACACCAAAGTGGTAAGTAAGTAAAGTAGTAGTAAAGTAAAGTAGTTCACACAAATTGTGAATGCGAATATATATAAATAATTCAGACAAGCGTGGGAAAAATCATTAGACAGTCTTAACATGAATGGCTAATTATAATGGAGTGTCGATCCAATTATACATAGCGAATATAGCAGACATGCCAACAAACATATATGGATATATGTCACCAAGCAACGGACTGTCAACAAACACTCATATTATATATAATATAATATAAGGAGAATACACATTAATAAAGGAGACAAGTCCATACAAGTGAAGTGGTCACAGACTAACCGAGCAAACAGAAAGAGAGACCAACATGCACACACACACATAAATATATATATGTGGATACATATCAGTACTTTAGAGAAAATATGGGCTGTACAATTTTCTTCATTCCTTCGCTTTCAGGTGGATCATAGGACTGCAAGCTTGAGCTTTGAAATTTCTGTAACTTTTGTATCATTTTTACGGAATGACGTTGTAGCCTCACACCCAGCCTTCCCTGTTCACCAAGTTTACTACCGGTTAGGTGGTTTATGAATACCTTAGCTAGGAATCGAACCCAAACCTCTTAGTTGGTTGGCAAGTATTTTACCACTGATGCAAGGTTGTACAATAGACTGAATAAACCACTATGCATGGTGTTTTGCCCTATAATTTTTAATCATCAACAGCGGGACAAAATAAAGGTGAAGCAAATTTGTGATCCCTATTATTTCCAAAACAAAACTTGAAAAAAAATCAAGAACTCTTGGTTGATATATGTTTTCTTCAAATATCACGTGATATACGCTTTTGTTAGTGGTAGACTCATTTCAGCAGTATGATCTTTCATGTATACGACCAAAGGACTTGATGAAATATATTGTGGATAAACAGAGTTTTGCCCACTGGAGATATATAACTCTACGAATTTATAAACATGTTAAACACGTGCTTACCGGATGCTGATCACATTTAAGCGGATGTTGCTACAAATACAACATCTTAGGTTGTGAAATATGTAGAATGACGTAATCTAGTTGATGTTGTTGAGTAGAGCTCAAGTAAAATTAAAAGGGAGTGAAAATCAAGTTAACAACAGTGGTAATAAGAGATTGGGGGGGGGACGAGAAAATAATACGACTTCCTTTGTATTCAGAGTCCACTTTGCATACAAAAGAAGTTTATTCAGGCATTAAGTCAACAGGCAATCTGACCTACCTTAACATTAAATATGTAATTTTTGTTTTGTCTTTTTCTTGCTTGTTTGTTTCTTTTAATTGTGTTATTATCTCCATCCATCCCTGATTACCACATTTGTCCACTTGACTTTCGTTCAATTTTAATTGAAATCTACTCAGCCATGTCAATTAGATTGCGCCACTCAACTAACTTATTTTATTTTAGTTTTGAACCAAATAAATATAATTTAAAAATTTTGTCACACATGAGTTTAAACTATCATTTAAATAACGCCTGCCTAACTCATATTTTTTGCATAGCTTTGAAAACTGTAAATGATTGCCGCCTAGTATCCTGTTTTAGAGTAGTATTCCTATTTATTGAAAATGTACAATCGTACGATATAAATAGGGACATATAGAAAAAATAACTCACGGTAACTGTTCAGCAATCATAAGTGACCCTTTGTCAGCTGGCCATCGTTTAGCGTCAAACACCATCCATTGATTATTATAGCTATGTAAGTAAAATTGGGAAAACAGTCGGGAAAAAATTATTTCGATAAAAAATGTATACCATTCAGCTACTGGGACGCGACTCAATGACCAGCCCATGATAACTAACTTCTAACAGTTCGTGATTTAGCACAGGAAATCTACTCTCTCATTCCTGACTGGATGGACGCCAGTGGTCACGACTTCTCACTAGAATTCAAGGAAATTCTGTCCTGTAACAAGTCACTACCGAGCATCATATTAATTTCCAAGAGTTGATTTGGAAGGATTAGATTTGTTTTTCGTGTTTGACTATGAATTGATATCAGTTAGAGAACCACTGAAAACCAGAGAGTACTGATGATGATTCCCAAACTAAGATGAAACAGCAGCTGTCCAGTACTCCCTGGTTTTCAATGGTTCTCTAATTGTGATATTAATCCGTGGTCAAACTCGGAAAAAAATTAATATTTAAAAGTAAATAAATATTTTCATAGCGTGTCTGTTTAATATTTAAGTTTTAGAAATTCTAAAGCGACAAAATTACATAGAAGTTCTTTAAAGTAAACAACATTTACACTGGCATACGCGTACTTGTATTAGTCGTTCTTAGAATCTATCATTTCTACCATTCAGTGAAGTCATGAGACTATCAGCCTGCATAAATATTACTAGTATAACAAAAGTACTATATTGATACCTAATTAATTAAACATTATACTGAACTATTTAAAGGACATTTAGTCACAACATTTACCATTTTTGATATAGATATCATTAGGAGACAAAGCATGGGAATCTGTAAGCCAAATCCATGTTTGTGTTCATGACAAAATGATAAATTTATGTGGACAAGACAACACGACTAAAAACCTTCCTTCATAAGATAAATATTTAGTCAAGAGTTATGTAGCGGTAAATAATTCCCCGAAATTATTGACCACAGCAATCGTCACTGAACATTGGATGCTGACCCTCACTGTTTAAGTTGACTTGTTTAGCCGAAGGCTTCCGGTCAAGCATCTACGCAATTTGGTACTCCGTCATGTCACGTTCGTTCACGACCACTAGCCAGTTAAGCAATCATCTCGCTCGACGATTTGCTCCCGGAATATATATCGTGATTTGGACGATCAACTGTGGTCTTTTGCTTTGCCTTTGGTCTACGCGGAACGAATACTATAGAAGTTGTTGGTATTAGATCTTGCGTTAGTATAGTCCGTACAATCCGCGAACGTCAATACCGTAAGCCTCTAAAGTTATGCGATATTTGGTGGAATAGTTGACAAGCTTATTCCTACCTGCTATGACACTATAGACATGAACTACTTTTGACGCTATATTCTACAGACTGACTACAAAATTTTGACCAGTAAAGGTAGGCATGTGATGAAAATGATAATTATTTGAAAACTTATGCCCTCTTGATATCCGCTCTGTATTACAACTGTAGATGTCAGGCTTTAATTTTTAAGTAAGAATGAAAAAATACTTGATGGAAGTGAGGATTGTCGATAAATTAAGTGACACTGATATATACATAGCAGTCTGTGTGACATGTTAACTAAGCAAACAGAAATCCACCGAGTTTATGGGAATCCAAATAATTTTTTTCCTCCAATTCTTATAATATTTCTGTTTACCTTCAAGAAGCATTTTTCTAAACTTAGAACCTAGTGACTGGAGTTCGAGTGTGAAAACTATTAAAATATATCCCTTTCTTGTCTGGTGGCATATACTACTGATTGATATGAGTAGTAGGAAGTAACCTAACTAACAATGCTTCCTAATCAGATTATAGTAATCTAAACAACAAATGGTCATTGAACTCGTTTAGGGTTGAGCTTATCAGCTTTGTTTGTGGACTTATTCATTTTGGAGAGTCGAATGTGTTCAAATCAATTGAATTCTCACCAGTTACTTGAGTGAACTGAAATTGCCTAGAATCAAATTCGTAATTTGCCAGTTACACAGTTTGAGGTGTGAATTTTTAACGTGTAGTTATGAATCTTTGTCGTATTTTGGCAACTTGAACTTATATCGCACCTTGTTTTGATTTATAAATCATTATTGCTTTTATAAGGGAAACTATTTGTTTCAGAACTGTAGGGAGTATAGTGGGTTAAAAGACCGAATATAACCGCATTCACTTCTACTACTTTCATTTAATTATGCTATTAAGCTATAAAGTTAGTGGGAAAATGACGTAAGGTAAAACAATAATTACTAGCTTATTATGTTCCCAGTAAGGACACCTCGCCAATTACACAACCACGAACTTTTAAGACGTTGAACCACCCATTCTCCCTTAAATGGATGGTAATTTCATAACTGGTGATTCTTAATGCTACCAGTTAGTGACAGTCCTAATGCCATCTAGCGATGACACACTTCATTCTGAGGACCTGAATAACTACAAATTCCTTTAAGAACTCTATGAAATTAACCTCGAGATAAGTCGGTTAATGTTCAATTGGTAGGAATTAAGTTGTTATGTATGTTGTATAGTAGGCTGTTTCCCTACTGAAAAATATCTTTGTATAACACTTTCAATGCAGTTCTCATTTGTTTAGTTAAAAAGAGGCCTTCATTGTTCTACTGGAAGATTTTTTATCAGTGAAGATAAGATTTCAATATATTAAATATTTTTTTACGAGTTGATCACGGATTGATATCAGTTAGATAACTATTGAAAATCAAGGAGTACTGGACAGCTGCTGTTTTATCCTAGTTTTGGGAATCGTCGGCAGTAAGCACCCACTGGGATTCGGACCCAGGACCTTCCAGTTACATGGCAAGCTCGTATACCAATCAGCCACTGGGACCCGATTCAATGGCTCATGAATTCTAACTTCTACCAATTCGTGATTTAGTGCGACCCTGGTTTTCAATGGTTCTCTAACTGATATTAATCCGTGATCAACTCGTAAAAACATATCTAACCCTTACAAAACCAAACTATATAATATTAAATGTTCCCATAGTAAAATTTAGAACAACACATTCAAGCGAACAATATTGTTTTCAATTAGATCTCATCAGGCTTAACTCTAATATACATAAGTTTACGAATAAAAATTCAAATATAAACCAATCATAGTTTCATGTTTTTCATGTACCGTTTTACAATCATCCTTCATTGAATCCATCTCTCAGCTATTCACCATTCTTGCAGCTGATATACATATTTATATCTGCGTATATATAATACTTGTTTGTATTTCTTGATATTAGGGCTGCCTTCGATTCGTTGGACAGAAGTGGCTCTGGAAATGTCGGTTAAATAGGGGTTGTACCTGAGAAGTTTGTTAACATCTTGAAAGCCCTATACAGAAGCACTTCGGGTAGAGTGAGGGCATACAACCAACTGTTCCCAACCAACAGTGGGGATAGACAGGGTTGCCCGGTCTTCTGGAGTCAGCTCTGAAGGATATGCGTGAAGGTGGTGTAGATCTGCTACCTGGAGATAGACTTTTCGACCTCGAGTATGCAAACAACATCGTCGTACTGTGCGATAGCACGCAGGCTGCCTAAATCGCGCTTAATCAGTTGGCGATCAGTGTTTGTAAGTATGGTATGTACTTTGAGCCCTCTAAGTGCAAAGTATTGTTACAAAATTGGCAGGAGCCTGTACCTGCACTCACTCTTGCGGGTGAACCGCTTGAAGTTGTTGATAAGTTTGTGTACCTGGGTAGTTGTGTGAGTGCTGGCGGAGGGTTGACGAATGAGATTTTCAATCGTATAATGAAGGCTAGGGTGGCATACATCAAATTGAGCCGCCTCTGGCGCCGTCGCGACGTTAGCCTGGCTATCAAAGGTCGGGTATACAATGCTTCGGTGCGCGCTGTCTTGTTCTACGCCTGTGAAACCTGGCCTCTCCGAGTAGGCTGAGGATGTGTAGCGGCTCTGCGTGTTCGATCATAGCTGTCTCCGCAGGATGGAAGAGGCGGAGGGGTGGTCAGTCCATGAAATGGCGTCGTGGAATGAAGGATTTTTGTGCTAGGTTAGCATCGGTTGGTGGGTCACGACTCCCTGGCTGGGGTTCGCAAGATAGCTCGAAACACTATCAGATATGGCCAAGAATCGTAATCAATAGCGAACGTGTTGCAATTTCCTTCTTTCTTTCCTTCCCTATGATGGTTAACGAATACTGTTTGGACTTGTTAAGTATGACTGTTTTCCTTCCTGATGAAGTTCTTTATCCGTTCTCTAATTACATTTTTACTTTTAATCTATGTTGTTCTATTATCATTGTGTGGCGCATCTTCTTAGTGCCATACTGCACCAAGGTTTTTTCTGCGTTTAAATAATAAATTATTTAATAATAAATATACTACTTGTAAATCTTGTCAGTAGCACACGTTACAGATTTATCCATAAGAGAGATATTAAGATATTAAGAGATAATTGCATGTATGAGTAAGCTGTGAAATACACCAGTATATTTTCTCAGCATATACATTTTTATTCTCTTGGGTTAGTAAACTTTAGAATTTTTTATCTAAGAGATTACAGTGACTGAAAAAGTGTCAAAAAACACGATTACCATTTTAAAAGTCCCTTCAGCATTCAACTATACGATCTCATAGTGTTAACTACAGAGAAAAAAAGCATTTTCACATCGCTCATGCCATCGTTAAACACCTTCGTTCAAACTTTCATTGTTTATAAATAAATGCGTTCGATAGATATATCTGTCTGCATTTATTCTTGACCTTTTCATAGTCAAAATTTCGATCATTTTATCAGATTATGACCTTTGTTTATTTATTCTTGTATTATAAAACTGACCAAAACTGTACAGTGAATATTTCACTAATTATAGCGTTTTACTTCAATGAATCATGATTTTATGATATACAAGTTCGTATTAGACAAAGTGATATGAGTCGAATCGAGTGATGTGCATTAGAAGTTTATACAACATTTATTAATTAGGCCTTTGATGCAGTAATATGATTCCTTATTCGTAGTTTGTATACATAGAAAATGACGATTTTGTAGTTCTGTTTGTGTAGACTGAGTTTTTGAAAGTATAATACAGTAACCAATAGTGAAGGGCTTAAAATAATCAATCATACTGCACTAATTACATAATCGTGCATACATAACATTCTAATTTGTATGGCTAACAATAACAGTAACCTGGATTTTTAAATACAGATGTCTAGAGCTCTCTCTCTCTCTCTCTCTCTCTCTATATATATATATATATATATATGAACTTTTCCGTTTTGTTCTAATCCGTGTACACCAAACAAGTTCATATTAACATTCACTCAGATATTTGCTAATCCTTCGGTCATCCGTTACTAACATCATGTCACTAAATGATGAACTAAATTAGAATTCGAAGAAAGAACTTAATTATTATTAAAATCAATTAAGGACCATTAAATTAACAGATAACTAGTTTAAAACAATTATATTTAACATAGATAAGATTGTAGCCTAAAATTGAAATGTAAACAAACTTCTAGGTTTATTATTACTGTTTAATATGTAACGTAATATTTACGTATCTTGAATCATTCATTGTACGCTTCACATTCAGAAAAAGAGGTAGTGGAAGTAATGTGCTATATAAGAACTCTCCGCTTTAAGGTAGTGCATTAGTCATTGAAATAACAGATAGAGGATTATATGCACATATCGGTTTAGAAATTCTTAAAGAGTGGGAATAAAATCACCCAGTTTCCCTGTATGACAGTTCCGAGATATTTAATTGGTGGGTGGTGACAAGCAATGGAGTCCAGGATACGCATTTCGTTTTATTTGGGACTCGTCATCTGGATGTACCTGTATTACCCATTGAGTGATGGTGTTCCCATCGAGTCTCGAATCCAGTGTTCATAGTTTCAAACACCAAAGCGTTATCCAGTAGACCACTTGGGCCACGAGAACCACCTCTTGTGCAACGAGTCACATTAAGAAGCATCTGCATAAGAAGCCGACATGTCAACCTGAAACCGAGCACTTCGGTCCAATCAGTCGACGGGAAAATCTAAAATTCAATTAAATAAGTTCCGAGATATATTTATTGGGATGTCCACATCTATTTATTAATGCTATGATGGTAAATTCTGTAATGAAAAGTAAACACATAGTTCAGTAAACAGGCTCCCTTCGAAGAATTCATTCTGCTTAGCTCTGCAATCTCCCTTACATACAATCTTTTCCTATCGGAGGACGACAGCGACACAAAAGTGATAAGTTGTCACAATCATACTTGTTAATGTTAGCCAATGCATAAGTCCATTTGAATAAGTGTGTTGGTACCAGGCAATAAGGTGAATAATTCAATGAATGACTTGTAATCTACTTAGCAGAAATCAACAAGCTTGTCACCATGATAGTAGAAGTGGTTGAATAATCTTCTCTTCTATGCATAGTTCCAGTTTCTGTATCTGAACTAAAACTTCAGCAGTGTAAAGGAGACAAAAGCTTATTGCCATCGGCAGGTTGTTCTTCATTTTGTAGATTACTTTGGACGGAGCGTTCGTTGAGATGGAATGACCAGTGTTGACATGGTGTTCGATTATTGCACTACTTATAGAACCAATACTTCCTTTCTGCAGCCATTCAGGATAGGGTTCTTGTACCCTTTTAGACAGTATACGCGTCGAACAACTATCATACATTGCTCCAGTGGAGCAGGTGAACTAGTATATTCACACAGAAGTGGTCGGATGCGAGATTTTGTCCTTAGGGTTTCTACAGACCAGTAGACAACTGAAGAGCATTGTTCTTTGCCTTGCTGCGAAGAAAGTTCTTCTCAAAGATGATGGACTTTTCCTCTTAAGGATACTGGAGGTTAAGTCTGTCTTGATATCGAGGTTCAGGTAGATATTTTTGGTACAAGTAACGATTCCTCACTCTGAACTCTTGAATCTTTGTGGGTATCCCTTATGAATGAAGATTTCTTTCAGAAGATCTAGTACTGCTTCTAGGGCATCAGGACTACAGATGCGTCGAATCCGAGTGACAAGATATTTCATTGAGTTTCATTTTCGTTCAGCAGGCACCTAGCTGTAGAAACACGTTAGTTGGATGTACTAACTGGGTTTCCTATGGTCTGTCTTTCTTAAAGCTCCATTGGTTCTTCTTGTTAGTCCCACTTCAATAGTGAACTTTGCTACCGGATGGCAGCTATTAAGTATGTTTAGCAATTGATTTGGGTTGTAGCTATTGTGGCAAATGATGAAAGCTTTATCCACGTACCTTGAATACAGTTGCAAATTTTCAGTGGTAGCCCTAATGAATCGTTCTCGAAGCTTACCATGAAGTAGTCTCACCTAGAAATGAACTCAAGGGAGATCCCATTCCAATACCATTCTTTTGTCTGTAGATGGGGTTACTGAAGACGAACTGTGCATTAAGGGTACACCACTGCATCAGCTCTTTCAAAGCTCTTACAAAACAGAGTTTGCGTAGATGGGATATTGGTGAAAAGTGACTCAGTGTCGAAGATAGCATACTTTTGTCAGTAACTCTCATGTAATGCACGCAATCGATGAATTGGAAAGTGTCATGAAGAGAGTACATGCAAACATGCTTTTTACAGGTTCCAGAATATCAGCCAACAATTTTACTATAGCACGATGAGGAGAGCCTGGTATATTTATAATTGGATGGAGTGGGAAACCAACTTTGAATATCTTTGGTAAACCATGAAATCTTCGTATCATTGAACCTGTTGATAGGATACGATCATAGATATCCCATTCAATTACTTGATCCTAAATACAACTCATTAATTGAATTATTCATCTTATTACCTGGTACCAACACACTTATTCAAATGGACTTATGCATTGACGAACATTAACAAGTAAGATTGTGACGACTTGTCACTTTTGTGCTACTGTCGTCTTTCGAGAGATAAAGATTGTATATAAATACGACTGTACAGGTAAGGAGAATGAATTCTTCGAAGAGAGCCTGTTCCATGTACTAAATGTTTTGTTTTCTTTTATGTCTGTACAGGGTTACTTATTAATTGAAATATTATTTTTAACCAAAACGTCCTATTTGGTCAGATCTCTGATGTATAACTCGAAATTACTGGTAAGTTTTGGATGAATTCATGATTGTTTATTGCTAACCGATTCGACTGACTACAAGTTGAATAAAGTAAAATCAGGGCTTTCGTGTTATGTACTATTGACTTCGCTATTGTAAAAACAACGCACACTAACCAATACTGATCGTTAGTCATAATAAAACGACATACTACCAGATGATTTTTGCGTTTATTTGGATCTGTATTTTTCAGAAGTCTGTCCAATATGACCGAAGTCATTTGCAATTTTTTTGAAGGGATATTTTTTAGAGGCTGAGGGTGTTGACGTCAACAGGGAGTACGAAGTATACTAACGCAAGATCTAATAATCACAACTTCTATAGTACTTGTTTCGCATAGACCAAAGGTAAAGCAAAACACTAGAAGTGATCATCCAAATTACGAAGAATATTTCGCGACCAAATTGGTGTGCTAGATGATTGCTTAACCAGCTAGAGATCATGTGTGAATAAACGAACGTAACACGATGGCGTGCCAAATGCCATGGATACTTAACTGGAGGCCTTCAGCCAAACAAATCGACTTAAACAGTGAGGGACAGCATCCAGTGTTCAGTGATGAATTCTGTGGCTAATAATCCTGGGGAATCACTTACGGCTATATATATATATATATATATATATATATATATATATATATATATATATATATATCAGTTCCCTTTGTCTTAGTTCGAATATATTTTATTAGTCTTCCCCATTTTTTCAATAGCTCTTAATCCTTACTAAACAACGTTTGAAATATTACCGAAAAGTTAACGAATAACTTACGTTCCACTATTTTTGCGTTTAAAGTAGGAAATCCATTCATCTGCAGTTGTTGCCAAACGACTTGCTACCATAGAGCGTATAAATGTAAAAACAGAATTTCTACTACCATCACGAACAATAGGCCAAAGTTTATCGGTATGCACAGTATTAGTAGTTTCTGTAATAACCTGTAATTTGAATTATAAAATGGATAAAATATAGTTAGATAGATGGTTACATTTGTGCACCATTAAAAGAGAGGATAATATTCGTATTTGTAATATACTTCTACTTCATTTATTCTGAAGTACCATTTTAAAAAGAAATTTACCAACTTGAACTTAGTTGTAGCAGTTTTTTAGTTGGTGACGTTTGATATCTGTGTATATAGGGAGGTTGTGTCTACACTTCATTTGAAAGTCGTCATTTGCACAGATCTCCCGTGAAATGCTACTTCTGCCCTTCGTGCTGTGTTTATTTGTCTTCTTTTCACGTCTTCCATGTTTCGCCGCAACTCTGATTCATTTGCTCTCTTTGATGGCAAGTCTATTACTCTGTTATTTGATATTTTTATGCCAATGAGTCTTTCTTTATATACTACAGATAAATTTTGTCAGTAGCCCACACCACAATGTCATTTTTTGATCTATGGTTAGTATATTGAAATATAAAACGTCCTGAAGTTCTGTGTTAACATATTAGCTGGGGCAAGAAACTCGTTTATTTATAAATGGCAGTAAAGACTTTCAGAAAAACACTTTCTTAAGCTGTAAGTGTTGGTTTGTAGGAATCTAGTTGATTTCAACTTTTTTTCATGATAAACCAGCATAATTTATGGAACCACTAAGAACCGAAAATTCCTGGACAGCCGTTCCGCTCCGTTTGAGACGCGTCACCGGTACTTACCGATGACCGCACCATTGATGTATTCTAGAGGTTGAATAGTCGATGGAATTGCCTTGCAGCTTGAAGTTCCTGTGTCTGATATTCTATGGAGTTATGGATACGTGCTGCTGAGGAAGCACAGATTATGATGAAACAACTATTGAGTAGTCTCTAGTTTCCAATGGTTCTTTACCCAATGTCTTTGTGACGAAATTGAACTTGAAACTTTCATATTGTATTACTCATACACTGTACAATATTATTGCAGAATTAAACCAAGAGATACAAAATAGAAAAGTAAAATGAATCCAAATTTTTGATGTGCTTGTGTCCTCTGAGCTGGATAGTTAATTCGCGAAGCCTTCATCACCCTACTAGGTGACATCTTCAGCGCATGCTTCAATTTGAAGTGAGCTTTTAGATTTTTTGACGAGTTTATTAATCATCTCTCTTGGTGGCCTTGGACGTGACTGGTTGTTTTTGTGTGTTTTCACACCTTCAAAGTTACTTGTATTGGAACTGATTGTTCCTTTGACTTAACTTTGACCCTTTGTGTGTGAGTATTCTTTCTTATCAGTTGATAAATTTAGTCTATCTTGATGTGTCTATTGATTGATGATTCACTGGAATACCAGACAGCCTTCTAAAAATTCTCTAGCATTCTTGGTGTTTCCTCTGTCTAATATTTGAAAGTTGTCCCAGTCGAATTGATGTCCGTGGTTGTCTGTGTGTAGTGATATGAGGGAGTGGATATCATGTCTTTTGACAGCTAGCTTATGTTTGTGGATACGAAGACGAAGGGAACGTCGACCTTGGCCAATGTAGTTTTTTTCCCAGTTGTTACAATTTATTTTGTAGATGATGGTTTTATCTTCTTTCTTTGTTGAGTCTTTTCGTTAACAGAACTGAGTGAAGTGATTTTGTTGGTTTGTGTACAACGTCGATTCCTAAAGGTTTGAAGAGTCTTGTAGTGATTTCTGAGATATCCTTTATATGTGGCAAGGCGATTTTCTTTGTGCTTTCCTTGGGGGCTTTCGGTTTGATAGGTCGGCTTGGGGGTATATGTCTTTTGATGAAATTCCGTGGATATCCATTCCTTTGGAAGACATTCATGAGATATTTTTCTTCAATTTTCCTTAAGGTGGGCATGCTGCAATGTGTCCTTGCCCTATTCAAAAGACATATACCCCCAAGCCAACCTATCAAACCAAAAGCCCCCATGGAAAGTACAAAAAATCGCCTTACCATATTGATCTGGTTGTCACTAACGATTTCACTTTGTGATTTTTCTTTCTGATGGGATGTTACAGTAGCAAGCCGGTGGCATAGCGGTATGAACTCTCGCCGATCAAGCACATGGTCCGGAGGTCGATCCCCGGTTATATATATATATATATATATATATATATATATATTAGCAGCTCATTTACTTGCTTTCACTCCGCTTAAGAAGTTTAATTAATAAAATAAGCCAAAATTCACTTTTGAATTGAATTTTTGATTTTCCCGTCGATTGATTGGACATCCAGCTGACGAGTCCCAAATAGAACGAAATGCGCATCCTGGATTCCACTGCTAGCCACCATCCACCAATTGTATACAAAATTCACTTTTACCTGTAGAGAATTTATTTTCTCAAATATCGGGAAATCATGTAAAAGACGCTCAAAGTATTGTTCGAAGGAATAAAGACTGATCATTTTCTAAAGTACTCTTCTATTAGGTTGATGTTTTAGTCACAAACATATCACTGAACTTAATTCTATGATTACTAAATGATACGCCGAGGATATTATCAAATCAAAAGTGTAGAAATTAGTTTGAATAAGCGAAAATAAATTTTCTGACGATTTTTTTTCGAAACGATAACCACAAGAAAGACATTAGCTTTATTATACCACTCATAAGTAACACTATGAATAGTTTCACAATTGAAATAATGAACTTCAGAATACTTATTGTGTAGTGGTTGGGGTTCATTATCCCGTGTGATTACTTCGTAGTGGAGTTAATGACGAGTTGTTTTTGTTTTTTTCACAGAAACGCATAGAAATTATTGATTTCAAAAGGTGAGAATAATTACAACAATATGTTAATCGATAATGTTATTTACAACACAAATGGACTCACAAGTTTTGCACTTGTCACATAAAAATCGTCAACTGAACTGGTAAACGTTGGATAAGAAGAAAATGTGATAGCGTAACCAGGAATTTTTGGTGAATCTAAGTAGGAAAAGTAGAGGAATAAATTAGAAAATCTTTTTGTACTTCACATGCTTGTTTATATAATATTTGGCTTCAAATCAACAGTATATGAAAAAAAGTAGTGACCTCATTTGAAATCGATTATAACCAATGACTTCTAAACTGTTTCGAATGAAGCATATAATTTCGTGAAAGTGAAACTTATGATCTAAGTGATCGATATTCTGGTGTGTACATTTTGCACATATTATGAAATCTGTAGTCAAACGGTAGAAGACAAAAGACTTGTTAAGGGAATTTTGATTGTAAATCTGGTATCTGTACATAGCGAAATTATGTGCACCTTATCTTCAACACACCATCTGCACAGATGATCTTCCGTGTTGTGGCCTACTTCTATCCCTCATATTGTGTTTCTTTGTGTTCCTTTCACGTCTCCTATATATCTCCTTAACTTAGAATAATTTTCCTTCTCTGACATCAAATGTATTACCCTGATATGAACACCACTTCATATACTACTGATAAAGCTTATCAGTAACACTCATTATAGTAGTGACAGAAAATATTTTTATCTCTGAATAAGGAAGGAGACTGTTTGATGTTGTTTTGGCTTAAAAATTTAATCTTCATTATTGTCTCCACGTTAGGCTTGATTATATCATCAGTGTTAACTTTATTTCTCCACTTCTTAATAACATTTGCGCTCATAATGCTATATCATGTCTGATAACAAAGATTTGGTGGAAAGTAAAGCTTAGAGAACACAAAAATTTCCATCATGAATATTCTTAGTTACATGATTTCATTATGAACTGACATTGGTTAGAGGACCGTTGGAAAACCACCTAGGAGTACTACACTGCCGACTATTTCATCCTGATTTGGAACTCCTCATCAGTAGGCACCTAGGACCATCCGATTGCAAGGCGAGCTCATAGACCATTAAGCCACTGGGACCCAATCCAGTAACCAATGTAGACATTGGCTAGTGGTCGCGCTATGTAGTGAATTGGCAGAAGTTAGAATTCATGGTCTGGTCATTGGATCGGGTTCCTGTGGCTTAATGGTCTTCGAGCTAGTTCACCTTGTAACCAGAAGGTCCTGGGTTTGAGCCCTGGCAGTGGGTGCGTGCTGATGAAGAATTCTAAACTGGGACGAAACAGTTGTCCAGTACTCCCATGTTTTCCAATGGTTTTCTAATTGATGTCAGTTCATGATGAAATCCTGTAACCAATCAAACGAAATCCCTACAAACCAATACTTGAATATGAATATTTTTAATTAATCAAAACATAATAATAAAAGGATTTAAATATTTGTTTAGTTTCATAACCACTTATCACTGTCTATCAGTGTTAATTAATAAAGTTACACATATAAGTGTATATGGCATGTAAGTCTGTAAATTCCTTTTTAAGAAAAAGAGTTATAATCAATCTATAATTGACAAATACAACTTGAGTGTCATTCTAAATTTAAGAGAGTATAGTCTTGCAAACTCTGGTGGTGGGCTTTGATGGCTAGACGAAAACTACAAGTAAATTATTCTCATTGGGTAATCCAAGTGCTGACGTCAAGTAAAATAAAACTATTTCCAAAAAGCAGCCAAGCCATCGATCACATACATTCCAAAAAAACAACTGAGAATAGTAACTAATGTCTGGAATTATTCTCAACTTTTAGGATATTGTTTCTTGAAATTAATAAGAGTTAATCTTAAAAGAGACTAGAGGCTACTAATATTCGAGTCTGAAGTAGTAGTTGGCTGATAGATTAAACCACAAAGTTGAAATGGTTAACTGAAGTTCACAAAGCAGACTTAAGATTTTGCATAATATGTTTTGAAAGTTCTTTGTATTGGAGCAGATGCACTCAAATACCTTTTATCATCTGCACTGTAAAGCGTGTGCTACTGATAAGATTTATCAGTAGTATACAAGGAGATAATCATTGGCATAAAAAAAATCAAATAGCAAGCAGATAGATTTGATTTCAGAGAAGGCAAAGATACAGCGTTGCGAAGAAATATGGGAGACGTGAAAGGAACACAAAGAAATACAATATCAAGGATGGAAGTAGCACAACACGGAAGAAAACCTGAGCAGATAGTGCATTGAAGATAAGGTGTACATAATTCGGCTATGTGGAGATTCCGAATTCCAGTCCTACTTCTTCTACCGCTTCAACTGAACATGATATTTTATTTCCTTTGATTGCTGTTGTTTTCTTGTTTGTTTTGTGATACTCCGGTAAACTACTGCTAACATTATTTGAATTAAATCTCCTCTCGTCCTATATTCTTCTCCTTGGTGTATAAATACATGTGGTGAGTTTTAGCAGTTTTGTTAAATCATACTCTGATAATATCCATCTGTTCAAAAACACAACTATCTGAAGTTTTTATCTGATAGAATTTTTCGATACCCTTTTATTTATTTTGAGGAAGTGAATTCCATAGAGCTGGAGATTGTTCAACTTCTGTTGTAATTACTTTTTTTGCGATTCATTTTAAATTTAAAAATGTGACATCTTTACACTCTTGTTTTTTTTTCTAAATTTAAGTTTTTAAATTTAGTAAAAATTGTATTTTTTTTCTCCAAAATTTCTTTCATAAACAATTCAGATTTGTTTATGGCATTGTCAGAGGTGATTAGAGAAAAACATTAAGTCAATCCGCAGAGTCGCAAACTGTTATTCTGAGCCACATTGGGAGGTGAAATGTGATTGGCTTACGTTGTTGAGATTCCAGGAATCAGTTGCTGGAGATCACTGGTATAAATATATCGTCTCTTAGATCAGGAAAATCTTCATTAATCCATGTTTAATTATCCTCCATCTAGTATCATAGTGTTATTCTGTTTTCTTGCTTTGTTTGCTTCTACAAGTGAGGCGACTTGAAATGATACAAGTTCGTTCAAAGTTCTGTGTTGATCCATCAGTCAACCAGAAGATTTAGATTTGCAAACACACATTGATTACTTAAGAAGTTATGAGTAAAGGAAATGGCATTTTCTTGTCAACCTACTTGACAAGCGTTGATAACTGTCACTGTAAGCATCCACTTTTCAATATGTCCTTTTCAGTTGAACTAAGTCTACTTTTCTCATCCCTTAACTCTTTTGTTATATATATGCTGAGATTTTGCAAATCCCGGTTTAATAATACTTTGAGAAAGCTATTAGCTTAAAAAACAATATCGTTTTGTTTTTCATTCATTGGGAAATACAAAAAAAACCTTTATTATAATGAATTACAATTTTTGGTTTAAGTTTTCATCATAAATTTATACGCTTTTAAAGTAGAAAAGAGGGGGGAGGGGTAGAACAGAAAACAGAAAAAGTCGATTGACAGAACAGTGTTAGTTTGTAGGTTCACATAGCAACTCCAAAAAACAAAAGCGGTTACAGTTTATAAGACTGAGATTTGTTCAGTGAATTGAGATCACTGAATTAGATGACTAATTAATGTAATCACTATAACAGCTTTTGTCCCATAAGTTATAAACGTGGATTAGTGAGAACTTTGTACAACAGAGCCAGGAAGCTATGTTCACCCAACATGGTGGAGGAAGAATTAGGTTTCGTCAAGAAATGCTTAATAGAAAATGGATACCCTTAGGGATTTATACAAAAAAATATAGCACAGAAAAAGATAAGAAAGAAAATCAACCAACGGCTGAAAAGAAGAAAGTGCTCATTTGTTTCCCATTCAAGGGAGAAGCAGCATCACAAAAGAGTGACAAGAAAATGAAAGGCGCAATAAAAGCAAGCTTCCCTGCAGCTAATCTCATACCATTATGCAGCACTACTTTTTCTATAAGCTGCTCTAAACTAGATAAATACCCTGCTTATTTCACTTCCAACTGCATTTATGAATTTACATGCACTTGGGGCAGCAAGTACATTGGAAGGACGAAAAGAAAGGCTTCCATCCGGTTTTCTGAACATATTTCAAGAAACTTGTGCCTGTAAGGAGTCAAATATTCTCAGAGTTCAATTACCAGACATCTTGTTGATAGTGGTCACCTCGTAGAGATTTCTAAGTCCTTCAAAATATTAAATAAACAAAGGACAGCGAATTTACTATGATTTGCCGAACCGACCGTAACCAAACGATTCAAATCAGACTTATGCGTACAAAAGAGAGTGTGGTTAATCTCTCACTCCCTTGGTAACTGAATTTTGATTTTGATTACATTAATTAGTCATCTAATTCAGTCATCTCAACTCACTGAACAAATCTCAATCTTATAAATTGTAAACGTTTTTGTTTTTTCGGGTTGCTACAAGCTAACACTGTTTGTTAATTAATTTTTTCTGTTTTCTGTCTTACCCCTCTCCCCTCTTTTCTACTTGGAAAGCGCATAAATTGATGATGAAAACTTAAACTAAAAATTGTAATGGTTACATTTTGTATGCGTCAGTTTTATAGTATCTCTTCTCTACTACCACTTAAACATTAAAGTATGTTTTATCATTTATATAGCCATTGTAATTTCAGGTAGTCTGCAGCTGATGAGAACCTGTGAAATAGAATAATATCATTTTATGCTGTTTTTCGTCTTCCTTTCTTTATCGAAACTTCTTCAACAGTTATAGTATTATGCAAATAGTTACCTTTGTCTGATTAATGGTGCAACAGGATGTAAAATAATAAATAAGACAGCTTTTAAAATGAACGAAAAAAATATATACAGTTTTTTAATTACTTGTACTGTTGACAACTTTCCAAGGGAAATTATAATGTTTTAATACTCTTAGCATCATACTATATGATGTCCAGGTAACATGTGACATGTACACATTATTTTTAACTACTTTGAATAATACTGAACATGATGTAGCCATTGTATATGGATGACCAAGTTCATTTACACCATATTTAAGCGTTGGAAGAGATAAGGCACTCAATAAATCACCAAAATCACCATTTATTTGCAATAAACTACAGAACAAAAATGTAAATAAGTAAATAAATAAAACCATTATAAAATGAGTCGAAAAGAAACCTACAAAAATTTAAATGTGGTGAAATCTACCCTTAAAATTAATCCGAATCCCTACAAAATCCTATATACTAAATATCAGTCTTTGGCTCATTGATGGTTACTACATGGATCTCCGGAAGTTGTACTAAGAAGTTGTGGCCAGTGGGTTACATCATATCAAGGTGAAGTGGATGCTCACAGGAGGCACTGTTTCAGGGTAGGCATATATCAAGAAGTGATTATTTAGAATGCATGTGTTACTGAATTCCGGCCTAAGTCGCTGAATGATCATCGAGACTGGTTTCGTAAGCTGAACGTCTTGAATTTGATTCCTAGTTGGGTTGTAACTATGCATTACTAAAGAGTACTCTGACTGGCTAGTCTAATCCTTTGTTTGGTGCAGACGGAATTCTGTCAGTCAAGCTTGCAATGTGTTCACCATGTTAGGTGGCCGGCCTTCACGGTGGACTGTCATTTTTTGATATTAGGTGGTTGCATGCTACCAACAGGAGGCCTTGGATATGGGTTTCGTGCTAGTCGGCACTCACCAGTCAGCAAGACGTACCTGCAACCTTGAGGGAACTCATATCCCTTCTGAGATTAGCACCCGATTCACCCAGTACTGCGATCATAGATGTTACCACTGAGCTATTCAGGATCAAACCATCTAATATCAACAGTTGACAGTCTACCGTGGTGGCTAGCCACCTACTACGGTGGCCAAATTGCAAGCTTGACTAACACAGTTCAGTCAGCACCAAACAAAGGACTAGACAAATTACACTAGTTAGCAACTAGTGTCCAATCAAAGTATCGAATACATACCTACAGGAGGTCAGTCGCGAGTCTGGATAGCTGAGGTGGTGACATCTATGACCGCAGTACTGGGTGAATCGAGTTCGAATCTCAGAAGGGATACGACTTCCCTGAAGGTTGCACATACTGTTTACTAACTGGTGAGTGTCAACTAGCACGAAACCGATGTTCAAGGTTTCCTGCGGCTGATTGTCTCCTACCATCTAATATCAACAATTGACAGGCCGGCCACCTACTACAGTGGCCACATTTTTTTTTATTACAGCTTGATTCCACACCGTACTTTTGGTACAAGTATTGAATTTTCAGCGTGGATATCGGTAGCCCGAAATTCGCAGGCCAACCATGGATATCAGGTGTGCGTCGGCGTGGGCTCGAACCTCGGACCATGTGTATGGTCGGCGAGAGTCCTAACCACTGTGCCACCGACGCACAGCTGTCTGATAGAATTCAGAGTGCAGCAAACTGAGGACTAGATACATCACACTAGTTGCTGCAGAGTCCCAAACTAGGATGAAACAGCTGCACTGATCTCCATATGATGTTGTATAATGATGAAGTATACCTTGGAATTGATCAAAATCCCACAATCTAAATAAAATTTAATGACACTGGGAATATTTCATTAAATAAGGTTTCAAAAGTACAGTTCAAACCAAAATGGTTTAGAGCACACATAAATGCTTAATTCCATGTATACGTAGTGAAATACTTAGTTTTCCCCATAACCTGTATTAATATTACACAATCATATCTTTGTATGTAAACCAATCATACGTCAAGTGACATTTATTTCATAACAACATGTTTGAATTGTAAACTCCTTAAACCATGCAATTATGGTGAAATAAATAATGAGTGTGTGGTGATTGACAATTTCTATCTCTGTATTGTTTAAAATACTTACTGTTGACTGTTGATATGTTTCATATATGAATTGCATTCTAATTCCGCTAAATACAAATTACTGATTGCTGCCCTCTCTGGGTTTTGATTAGATTCCTATAATTCCGTCATCCCGGTATATTAATATTTCAAGTACAATAAATTACTACAAATTGGCGTCGCGATGGAGCTAAGTAACCTGGGAAAATTTCCCATTAATGGTTCTCCGCGAGAGATTGCTGATTATTTGGAATGCTTTGATGCGTGGTGCATTTCCAAGAATGTTCGGGATGATAAAATACCTGCTCATTTCATCACTGCTATTGGGCTTGATGCATATAGCCTGGTGAAGAATCTGGCGTTTCCAGATAAACCCATTTCTATGCCATATGCTAAGCTCCGTGAACTTCTTATAGATCACTTCCATGTAACTACTTTTGAGACCAGAGAGAGGGCTCACTTCAACAAACTGGTACGTTCTCCCAATCAGAAGATTCGAGACTTTATTCTTCAACTTCAAATTCAAGCCTCAAAGTGTAATTTTGGAGATCAGCTGCATACACAACTACGTGATCGTCTAATTGCTGGAATCAACATTCCTAAATTAGAGAAAGAGTTAATTCAGATTCCTTCTTGTACGTTTCAAACTGCTAAAGAGGTATGTATTACATATGAAGATGTCCATAATGAATACTCTGCTCCCACTACGTCAGTGTCTGATGTTATGCTTTCTAAAGTCGAAAATACAAGTGTTCATGGAAAGCAATCCAAACTGCCGTCCACAGGTAATAGAATGCAGCCAGAGATCAAAAACATTAAACCGTGTTTATCCTGTGGAAAGTTACATCTACGAAGCACTTGCCGTTTTCGGAGTGCTAAGTGTTATAAATGTGGTAAAGTTGGACACATCAAGACGGTTTGCAGAAGTTCGAATACTTATGTTGCTCAACATTCTTATAATTCTCCCAAGCTGTCTAGTAAAATGGAGTCTATGTGTCTTTCAACTTTTCAAAATACTCAAGCTAATCCAACGAAAACCTCCACTGCAAGTTCAGCAACGCAAGTATCAACTGTATTCAAAAATGAGGTAGCTAAGTTGCAATGTGAACTGTCGAAAGCACGAAAAGACCTGAATGAGATGAGAGAGCAACTGAATAAAATTGAGGAATTACTGCATATGCATAGACTACGTCTGGTGAATCCAGAGCATACAAGTTCTTGTGAAAGTCCTGCAAAACTATTCAAATCTCGAATTCTCAAAAAGCATCTGATGTCCACTACTTCTAATGTACATTATTACAAAGATAATAACTACAGACCTTCTGTTGGAATTATACTACAAAAAATGGGAAATCGAGTGGTGAAGATATTAGACATCAAAGATCACTCAGTTCATAACGGACACCTGGACAAAGTGACAATAAATGAAGTAGGTCGTTCCAATTATAATATTATTGATTCCGCTAATAATCCTGATTTTGTAGATAATTCAGAAATAAGTCCAGATAGTACTGATGAAAATAATATCACAGAATCAGTTAGCTCGAAGCTACTTGCAAGCAAACCGAGACATCGTTATAAATACGCGAGGAGATATTCGAGGTGTGGCGGATGTGGTGATTGACAATTTCTATCTCTGTATTGTTTAAATACTTACTGTTGACTGTTGATATGTTTCTTATATGAATTGCATTCTAATTCCGCTAAATACAAATTACTGATTGCTGCCCTCTCTGGGTTTTGATTAGATTCCTATAATTCCGTCATCCCGGTATACTAATACTTCAAGTACAATAAATTACTACAGAGTGATATAAGAATTTATCATCTGCATCAAACTAGTCATTTAAGCAGATATTTAAAAAATAAATTCATATTTGAAATCGCAAAAGGAAGTAAATGAATTACTTTACTATTAAATATTATCATCATCATCATATACATATGCTTAAAGTTCATAAAACATTTGTCGTTTTTATAATGAGCTTAAAATCTCATCATATTGCATTGAGGAACTGCTAAAAAAGAACCACTCAACCTACTCAATGATTTTATTCAGTAAATATGAATTGTGCAAAACGTTAGACTCAACACTCACTGACTGCTGAAATATCCCGAACAGCAGTAGAATACATCCTTTTTTTAAAATATAATAATCAAAGAGCATTTCATTTGAAAGACATAAACTCAGATGATTGTATGTATATCTTGGGTGTGATTTACTTTTATTTGATTTCTAGTTCAATGATCTTCATATTTTGTACATAATTTAAAAAGACATAGATCAGTAGAGAATATTCTTTTCAAAGCTGTGCAGTTATACGGTATTCTAAATGTTATTGAAATGTCTATTAAGGTCAGTTGTTAATATCAATTAGTAACAAAGTATGTGAAATTACATATCAGGAAAAATGATGTCTGTCTGTCTGTTTTCGACATAGAACTTTGCACAAATGTGCGGAAGTTCAAGTCGCCACATTCCGTGTAGCACGCGAAGCAAGAGAAGAAAGTACAAGAAAAGCATAATAGAAACAGTGAGCAGAGGTGTGAGACAAAGGAGTAATAAAGAAATACAAAACAGTTTCATTGAAGATCATAAGTCACAGGGAGTGGATGCATCTGCGCCACTGAGAACGATTTTGAGCCATGTCACCAATTGTTTCCAACCATAGATTTTTACCGTCCCGAGGACCCCAGCCTGGAAGTCTACACCTTTCTACGTGGCTTAGACCAACTGTTGTGGATTTCATTGACTGATGCCAAGTTTTTGTTTGACCGCCGCTAGCTTTTTTCCAGCCTGACCCTATATCCGCTAACATAGCTCGTCGAGGGAGGCGATGACTTGGCATACGTAACACATGTCCTAACCATCTCAGTCTTTGTAGCTTCACGACTTCGTCGATTGATTTCCCCTGTTTACCTAGAACTCTACGCCTAACCTCCATGTTGCTCACCTTATTATGCCACTTTACACGGGAAATAGAACGCAGGCACCTATGATCAAAGACAGCTAGCCGGCCTTTTCATGTCTACCACTCTCAGTGGCCAGGTCTCACAACCATAAAGGAGGACGGAGCGGACTGATGAGCAGTACACCCGCCCTTTCGTCGATAGTCGAACATCTCGTCTACGCCAGAGTCGGTGTAAACTGGCAAATGCGAAACGAGCCCTTTGTATTCGTGCTGAGATTTCGTCAGAGATCAGCCCGTTGGGGCTGATGGTACTTCCCAAATAAGTGAAGCGATCAACGTGCTCTACCACTTCACTTCCTATTTTTAAACTAGGCGTCGATGTAGTCCAGTCCTGTAACATCATCTTGCATTTGGCGGGAGCGAATCGCATGCCAAACATTCGTAGATTGCGGCTCAAGGTGTTAAGAAGACTCTGCATTTCGTCAGCGACTAAATTATAGTAATTACGTCATCTAAAAACATTAAGTAATGAATGGTGTTCAGAAGTGAATATTACTGAGACTGTAAGCGCTTAAAAGGAAGAATACTGTTCATAATATTAAGAGATTCAAATTGCCTATGGATTATATTTTAAAATCACAAGCTTGGAAAGGAAAATGATAGATTATATACCAGATTATTGTAAGAGTCCGAGAAAGATTTAAGGCTTTTGTATGCACGGTTCATGGTTCCCCTTGTATACAGCAAGAGTTTCAGCCATGGACAGAAGGTATATCCGGAACTCTTCGAATGTCACAGCCATACCTTGTATTTCACTTTGAAAGATTTCTCCATTGATGATGTGTAACGGTAATATCCTTAGGAATTGGGTTATCGTTTCGTTGAATTTTTCCTTTAGATAAACGTATTAGGAGATGTTCTTTGGTGTGTCTGGACAATATCCTACTGGTACTTAGTCCCACATAATTAAGTGAATTGATAGATGCACATTAATTTGCCATTGGTGTCCCAGAACTCAACAGTAATTTTATCTTTTGTACGTTTATTTTAATACTAAATATATTGTGAATATGTTCTGTGCATTTGTGGACAATATGCTCCTCCTCTTCTTCTTCTGCTTCTTCAGTGCGAATAAAATCGATAGAAAACTCGTCTGCACAACTAGTGTTAAAATACTAGACAGACAGTCTTGTATCACGTATCCAATAACAGATGGGCATAACTGGTAACGGTCGCAGTAAAATACGGACATTTTTACCGCGGCTTTCTTGTAGGTCAACTAGTAGAGAGCCCAGTTAAAATTTCTTGCGTCTTTTGTTTTCATCTCGCCTTTGACCATCGCTCACTAGATTGAAATACTGCTAGAAAAATTAACTGAAAACTACTGAATAGTAAAACTTACTAAATGCCCATTACTTCATCAGTTATCTCATTAAGATAGCCCTCGTTCAGTTTATCTGAAGTAGAAATGAATTTTTCATTATAAGCATCCAACATTCCTTTTATCTGCCATAATTGCAAGCCTACCTAAAATTAGTCAAAAAAATACAAGAATTAAGTTTAAGTTATACAGGTAGCCGACTCATTGGATCAAATAAAACTTATTGAATCAAAGATCATTTTTATGTTTATTTTACCCCTTGTGCTCTGATTGAAATGTAGGACTACATGCTTTGAAGTCTCAGGAGCAGTAATGTTGTTTTTACGAGATGAATTTGCTGGTCTCACGCTCAACCTTCTCTCTTTTTCCCGATTACTACTGACTAGTAAAATAAACGAGATATGATACTTTGATCGAAAATGGCTATCCCGACAAATTTATCAAGAAACACATGACGAATAAAATGGAAAAGGACTACTCACTATCTGTAAACAAGAAGCCACTTTATATACGACTACAATTCAAGGCCGATATATCAAGTGAGATAATTACGAGGAGATTAAGAGAATCAGTTCAAAGAACGTTTAATGCTGGCAAACTACACATCTTATTCTCTACACGACCGATGGTGCTACCTAGATTGAAAGATGAAGTACCTAGACCAGCCACTTCAAATTGTATCTACCAATTCAAATGCGCTTGTGAAGCAAGTTGTATTGGCCGTCACTCTAGGAACTTGATTCTTCGTGCTCGAGAACACCTCCCGCTATGGTTAAGTAAAGGTGTGGCGAAAACCATAAACAGTTCGATACTGGACCATCTGGTGCAAATCGGCCGGCCACAAAGCCAGCGTGGAAGAATCCTTCTCTAGAATCTACCGGGTGCCTAATATATTGTCAAAATCATCGAAGCACCGCATGCTCCAAACAGCAGAGGTTATTGCAATTCGCCTCAAACAATCAGTGCTCTGTGTTCAAAAGAAGCAAGTTTAGTCCCTACTACTGCCATGGCAGGCCTTCAGTAGAAACTATTAATTCTTGAATTTGTTGTATATTATCTTTCCTAATTTTTCTGACATTCAGCTTATTTTATGTTGATACTATAGAACTGTAATCTATCAATATTATTGATTCGATGTTATTTAAACAGCAACATTAATGTTGTTAATAACACTAATTCATTCATTCACTATAGTGTGTGTATAACTGTATTCCTGATGATCAAGTTATCAAAAAGAGTACTCTTTGTTCAGTATGCATTCTTTTGAAAATAAACGAGGTTTAGGAGTGTATCGGTCGGGAATCGAACCTGATCAGATCACGTATTTGGTTGGCGAGCATTCTAATACTCAAACCACCAATACAAACTAAACATTAATTGCTTCCTACTACTGAACTAACAAGACTTTACGACATTGTGAAGTTACTGACAACCAAGAATCAGATGTAACCGGCATTAGGAATTAAAAGAGTAGAACTTAGTTTTTACAAAATCTATACTTGTTTTTTGATTAGCACATACTTAATTAGAGCATAACTAAAAAGAATTCAAGGTGTGTATAATACATTCAATACACAAGGGTCATCATAAATTAAATCGTTCGATCAACAGAAAAATCACTAGTTTCATACAATCCGATTTTACGGTGTAGCACAGTTCTAGTTACCACGTTAACAGTATAACCAGTCAGTAAGCTAAAAGATCTATGAAGGCTGTGTAATTTTAATGAATTTTAGGTATTTACAAATAATCATTAAGAAAACCTTATTCTTGTAAGTCTCATGACTGTTAATATTCGTCAGCAAGGGTTGTCCATGAGATCAAAGGGATTTATATTCGTCTAGAGCTTTCAGCCAGTGAGTTAAATTAGGCATTCTAAAAAATGAAAGTCATAAACCATCAGCACTTTTCAAATGGTAGATCCTAAGATAACTAGTGACTGTGTTATTTACTCTATATGCAGTCCGTCACTTGTCTATGACACCACATGTCTGTCAGTGTGGTAATTTTTAACTGGGGTCTAATAAAACAATAATAAAGATTTTATCTTATAATCTGCATATCAAAAAGTCAAACATCTTTCATAAAAGAAAAAAATTCTTCATATACGATAAGTAAATCGATAAATTATGATATTCATCACATGTTTCATTAATGTGTGATGCTTTCTGTTGGAATTCGTGAAATAAAATGAGTCTTCTTATTATTAAGCTTGTTGTAATTGATATGCTCTATGGAAAATAGAATGTTAACTTCACGAAAATATGGAAGATCAGATATGGCTGTAAAACAAACATTGCTAAAGAAACTTCAAGCCACTAGCTTGAAGCCCTATGTTCCACTGGGGAACGTGAAGGAAAAAAACTCTGATTAAAATAGGTTAAATAAGAAAATTTCCAAAACTCCTTTTTATTTTTTACCTTGCCTAAACATTTTACTTATCGCCACGTAAATAAGAAAAATACGCTATGCATTCATTACATTCGATTTCATCTTTAAAATATGTAACAACGTTTACGTAATTTCTGAAACTTTACGTGCAGGGTGTTGACATATCCAATAGTTTTCTATAGTTGGTATGTAAGGATTGATTTTGCTTTTACGAGTTGATCACGGATTGATATCAGTTAGAGAACTATTGAAAACCAGGGAGTGCTGGACAGTTTCATTTTGGTTTGGGAATCATTGGCAGTACGCACCCACCACACAGGTTCGAACTCAGGACCTTCAGGCTACAAGGCAAGCTTGTATACCATTCAGCCACTGGGACCCGATTCGATGACTCATGAATTCTAACCTCCACCAATTCGTGATTTAGCGCGACCCCAATCAGTATAGTTTTAATTTTTTTAACAATGACTACTTATTCTGTAGTGATACTTTAAAAGTACATTAATTCTACGCCTTATCAACAGATAATGGCCATAAATACTGCTTGATATTAACTAGATGATTGAGCGAAAAAAAGAATTTTTTCGGATAAATCTATCTGCCAGTTCAGAAAATAACATCTAACTACTAGGTTGACCTAACTACATAGATCAAATTAGTAGATCAGGAGTAGTGAGATTATCAGAACATAAGAATTTAGCTAAGGTTAGATTGATTGATCCCATGAAGAAAAACTCAACAATCGTACCGCATGCATTAACACATAACTACACAATAGGGTGGGACAGAGTCAGAATTCGCAAAAGTAAAATAGGTAGGTGGAGAAAGAGGTTGATTATTAGGTTCCTGGTTCATCGAGTCTACACCCAACACATGCAGTAGAAGTGTCTCAACGCTAATACCAGAGATATGGAAGATATTATTACGAATCAAATCAGAAGACGATAAATAATGTTAAAATGCATTCAGTTCACACTATAACATCCTAACAAGTTATTCATTTTTACTACAAAAACATCTTATTTCCCATCTTACTCTATTTTATTGATAATACTAATATTATTCCTGAATGTACTTTATCTTATACTGATTTTCTTCAGATGTCTAATCAATTTTTACTCATGTATATAAATGAAGCAAGAAAGTTGTGTGAGTAGTGTCTTGATATGATTATCAGTAGTAATTTGTGCTCGAAATATCATTAGTAAATATTACTGTATAATACTGTGTGATTTTATCAAAATAAAACTTTATCCACACTACCCAAGTCTATCCTTATACCTATCCTGAGTATTAAGCATAGAGGGAAATTTTGAAATTTATAAAATACCATTCTGATCAAATAACAAGGATGTTGAAATATTTTGTTGTTAAGAATTAGCGAGTTTTATAAGGTTATAAACCCACTGTCTTATTAGTCTTGGAAGGGTTAACGTGACATCAGAATGCATTACATTGACATAGATAGAAGCTTGCATCTACCGTTTGAATGTTATTCCTTTTCTCATTCAACTCACAACTAATGAAATGTTTTCAACAGCTGTCCAGTGATAATTTAAGTTATGACCACAGACTCTCATCCTCCCTCTGTAGTTATTTTGTATTTCACTGAAAACCTGCATTATACCTTCTAAAGGCTGTCAAAAGGAAAATATGTGGCCAATACATCCTTATTCGGGGCTGATCCCGGGCTCGCTTTCTTGAGCTTGTTTATTGCCAGACCTACTTGGTCTTAACAGATACCACGTTATGATTATCACAGAAAGGTTTCTTTCACTTTTTGTGAACTGAAATGATTAGCAGTCGGCACCAGTCCAGTGGAACTGTCAATAAATTATAAGTACTTGATCACACCTTAGTTTACTTGGTCAGTAACTCATAATTATCCCTAAATAGTTCTGGAGACATACCATCCCGTCTTGCGGTCTTACCTTGTTTTGTATAAAAATTGCTTTCAGCCTCAGATACACTCGGAGAACTGATGTTGTGTCATATTCAGGCACGGGAAAGGTGCTGGGAAGACGTATTGCAGCTATACGGCTGACAGATAGCTCCTGAAAGTGTACTACCAGATGATCAATCCATCTCTCCTGAAAAGATCCCCAAGACATGTTCCTCTTGGAAATCATAAGTTTTTAAACTCCTGTCTTTCTAACCAGCCTTAATAAGCGGTGGGTGTCAGATTCTCTGTTTCTTTCTCTCTTTCCCCTCAAAATTGTTTCCTGTCGTTGCGAAATCCTTTAGTCGGCTTGCTTTCGAGTAGCTTTCTTCCTTTTCAGGTATGAAGGTTTCAAGGTCTTGTTGCATTAATTAGTTTGGATAAAACTTCACAATCAGAGTATTTCCAATCCAGAAAGGGTATAACGAGGCGTAAACGTCTGATACAAAATCATTTAATCTTTGAACAAATCTGCACTACTATAGTTATCAACTAGCAAATAACTACTCCTGTTATTTGCTCATATATTTACCTTTTATTTTTGAAGAACATTCAAGCTACATATGACCTGACCTCCACAGGTAATGATTTCTATCTAAACGACGCGAAATTACTGCCAAATTATAAGGCTCACTTACAATTAATTCCGAAGCGTGTTAATTGGCTCATTGTATGAAGGTTAGCTGCAATTAAACTAACTGTTATTCATTGTATCTTCACGGCACGCTGTCTTATACATGTTTTTTCTTATTCCTTCACGTTCCCAGTGGAACATAAGGCTCCAAGCTAGACGCTTTAGGTTTCTATAGCAGTGTTTGTTTTTACAGGATAAAGTTGCCAGCCTCATACCCAACCTTCTCTCTTTGCCAGTTCTATTACTGACTTAGAGAGGTAAAGGGGTGCGTTGGCCGGGGATCGAACCCAAGACCATGTGCGTGGTGGGCAAGCGTCCTAACCACTGTGCCACCGACGCACTATACATACTTTATACTGTGAAAAATAATGTTTTACTGCGTGAAACGCCCAGCAAATAAACTGACCGCTTAATACTATTTAGATTCTATAGCTGCATTACTCACACTTCAGTTAATGTACCTTCAAACATCTTATGACTCGAAGTCTATTTTTACATGATATCCTTTTTTTCTTTCATTATATTTGTTTTCGAATTATGTTTATTTAATTCTTTATTCTCTCACACTGTGGAGCTTTTAATACAATTACTTTTTTGCGAAAGTGAATTTAATTGCAATTTACCAAAACAGATCAAACTGTCGCTGTATAATAATCCATATATTTGACTGTAAAATCTAATAAGAGTTAATCTCTTAGAGCGTGTAACTATTTAACGCTCATTTTCTTAGTTAAGTATTTATCATGTTTACAACTCAAATAAAACCGGAATCGAGTGAAACAACAGTGAAATTATTACTTATTTTTAAATTTGAAAGATCTTTTTGTCCCATATACACTATTCACAAGTCGAGTTTCGACAAATTGAACTTAATGGATACATAATTATAGGGTGAACATTTCAGTGTCATTACCGACAATAACTGGAACTTTAGGAAAACAAACACAGATATTTTATAAGTCTGTATGTGGAAATAGAGCCTTTTATGTCTGTTTACTAGAAATAACGTGCATCATAAGACTGCTTTGCAAATTGCGGGATAACCTCTCACAGATCTTTCAGAATGTTATTGTATGATAATGTGGAAGGACGACTACCTTATCAAACAGTCTAAGTTGTTTTGCCACCTTCTTACTCTCCGCTCTCATTGTCTGCCTAATGATTTTTGCAAATAAATTTCATTCAATAACCATATATGTATATATATATGTTAATTTATGGAACATCTGTTTTTCGTAAATCAGTGGAACTAGTTGTTTATATCTCAGTAGGTAGACCATAAGTGAACTGCACAGATGTCAGGACTGTTATCACACCATTATATATGCTTTTAAATTGGTAAGAAGTGCTAATCCAAAAAACGATGTTTACTTAACTGAAATCAGGAGAAGATCATTGTTCGCACTGTGTGAAAATGCACATTTGCTCGTGAAACTTTTGTGACATGCCATTATAATTTTTTTCAGGTTTTTATAAACAAAAATCGGAGAATAGTATGCGAAATTATGAATATTTCCCCGGTACATGCAAATAATACTGGAAAGGAGATAGCTGTGCTACGTTAACCTAGAGTGAATTTTGTAGTCCCTCAAACGTCGCCGTTGGAAAAATAACGTTGTCAATTTAAATAAGGAAAATAAAAATCATTTCTCCTTACTTGGTACCAGAAAGGATCGTGGTTGCTGTTTTCATAAGTCTCTTCTAGCATATAAACCATATTTTCTGTTAGGTATTTCTGCAACTTCTTACAGCTTTCTGATAGTGGTTTTGAACACATATCTAAAATTTTAAAAACATATTTAGTCCAATGATAACTCGAAATGTCTAATAACATATGCATTTCTAGGAATTTATAACCAATTCACTTAACATGTGGTTAAAATGAGTCTAATTTAGCGTAATTCCCTATTAAAATGTTCATTTTGGTTGGACACAAACATACCAATGATACTTAATAGAAAAGTAATACCCCACTTTTTTCTAAAACATCTAGATGAGTACATTTCCTTTTGACTGATGCATGTTTCTTATTGTCTATCTGATAAAATCCTAGAGTTTGTACGTGAGGTCTTTAAGGGTTTTAAAATGATTTAGATTTAAAAATGAAGACAATCGCACTTCCATAGGGAGCGGGGTGAACTCTACTCAGGTGAATACATATGGGAATGCTCAAAAATACATTTACGAATATTCGTACAAATGCGGTAAATACGAAAAAATGGAAAAAGGGGTGAATATATTGTCGAATCATGAAACTGAAGTCACTGGCACAAAAGCTGTTACTTTTCTAAACCTACTTGCAATATTCAGGAAGTACTACCGTGCATTTGCTCTACAAATAACAAACCAAAATTATTACATTTCACTTCAGTGTACGTAAAAGCTTTTTTGACTTGCAAATATTTACCTTTGAGTTCTTTTCAAGACTAAATTCATAGACAAGGACCACGTTAATTAGTTAAATGCACTTACGTACGTAAATATATGTAGGCGCTTTCCGAACTTAAGGTTGACAATACTCTACTAACAATATATTACTACTTGTTTAATCTTATTCAAGTCGGTGAAATGTTAATCTCTTACACTCAAGACATAGTCGGTGCTTCAATAATAAAATAGAAAACAGGTACTTATTTTTACTAAAAATCAATCCAGTATCTGAAAACTTTTAAGCCACTCACCCAATCAGATGAATTGGATGAATTACGATTGTTTCATACAATCACTACCTGAAAGATGTTAACAGTATAGTATTACACATGAGTGAAAAAAAAAACATCGAAAGTTTAAAATGGAATCCACCACGACCTGTAGGATTGTAACAAATATTTGGGGCATACAGACTTCATGACTACCGTCTTTCCCAACATATTTCTATAAAATACAACTATGCAGTGGTTGTAATAAGTAGGAGATATCAAAGACAAAGTAAGGGTGATGATCAAGATATAATGGAACATAATAAAGAATGTAGTTCTCGAACCTTTTTATCAAAATATAGCTGTAAATTATTTACACCTACCTCTGGCAGTATTTATCCACATAGCATCAGTTAAACTGAGAGTGAGATTTGTTTCCAAAAAGCCAGCCCAATATGCTTGAAGGAAGTCAGGGAACTCCGAAGACGTTGACACCGTGAGTGATGACCATCTTTACATGTTACATATTGATAAATTTGGATTTACCCAGTTGTATTAACTTTGTTATCAAAGGCTGCCACGGCAATTATATGTGGATTCTGAAGTAACTGTCCATCTGTTATAAAATTTACAAACGACTCGAAGACTTTGAAATGCTTACCTGAAACGTAATGAAAAAAAGTTGTATTTCCATCATTTGCTGCTAGTATGAGTGCCCTAGATGACTGTTCTGCAGATACTTCCAGCAGAACAATCAACAACGCGGAAACGAATTTGAGGAACATTTTGACGCTGAAATAAACCTAACATTTGAAGGTCAACTTTGGCATACACAAAGTACTCATATTAGAAATTTTAACAGTAGCTCCAATAATCTGACAATAGATTTAAGAAATATTCATTCAAGAACATAATTCAAAAATGTTAAATTTGTCCATTATTATAATTTATTATTATTCCCTTGGGTTCCAAGTGGAACACATCACTTTCTTCTATTTACTGCTCTCCACTTCGTCTGGGCCCACGACTGCTCAATGTCTCTCATACATTCTTCGCGACCCTATCTCCTCCACGTCTCCCTCGCAACGGCGACATACTCTTCGCCTTCCATTCGGATTCCACTCGAGCGATGTCATTCGACGGCCTTCTCAACGCATACCTGATCCGTCTACATTTTCTCTTACGTATTTGTTGAGAAATTGGCTGTCGCCTGTTGATTTGTACCCATAGTTTCTTGTTACTAATTTTTATCGGCCTGCCATTTCATCTTAAATGTGGAGCTAGTGAGCGGGAAGCTGTTGATAAAATTCAGTAACTTGTTGGAAATCCTTTTCGTAACACGCTGGCCAATTTTTTGACCCGCATGGAAGAAATGGCCGATTCCACACTTGCACCGAAAGTTCGAATTTAGTTCTTTATGCTGGCTGAGTGTGGAAGATTTCAAAACTGACTTCGTACTGATGAAGGCGTATGTCGCCTTTCCAATTCTGGCTGGCCTTCGTATCCTTCATCAATCCCGCCGTGGCTGAATCAATGCTTCCTACATAAGTGAAAGAAGTGAACTCTGTCTCCCGCTGATGGTGACTGGTACCGGTTGTTGTTGCTGCTGTCGCTTATCTCCATCTCTTCCGTCTTCTCTATTTTTACCTGGGGTCTTTTCTTCGCTTCCATTCGTCTTGTATTAGTTCGTTAGTTTCCGCCTGCAAGTTTACTAGCTTCTGTGACATCAAACATAAATCGTCCACGTGCGAAATCTAGATCTTCTAGAGTCTTATTATCAGACAGTGCAGCATATTCCTATCCTCTGACTCCCATTCACAGCCTTCTGCATGATCCAGTCCACCACAATTAGGAATATCATCTCTGGTGGTAATAGGCAGCCTTGTCTTACTACTTCATCTCGAACGCCTCCCTGAATTTTCCTTTGTGGGTCCCCTTACATGTGGCATTGTCATGTAGCCGGCTGTTGACTGAGGCCGGAAAATATTTTGGGGTGCTGGACGTCGTAGTGTTAGAGAAGTTTCCAAATCAATTCTCGGTCAACACTGTCTACTGAAGTCCTTTTCGAGGTCGATTAAGTTGATGTAGAGGTTTCACTGCCACTGATACTTCGTTCGATGATGACGCGTACAGCTGAAATTTGGTCAGCACACTATTTGCCTTTCCGAATCCAGCTTGTTTTGGCTGGCGGAGTTCTGTACCCAGTGCATTTTTACACCCACCTGGATAACAGTATTTAGTATTTTACTTGGCGTCGACAAGAGCATGATTCCGTCGTAGTTCTTGCAAAGTGAAGCGTAAGTTGACCTTATTTGGTTGCTTGACGAGGCAGCTGGTCTTTACTCCAATCGGTAGGCACCTTCACTTCCTTCCAAACGTTTTGCAATAACGGCATCAGCACATTTGAAGCTGTCTCTGGGTCCGTTATCAGTGCTTCGTCTTGGGGGAATTCTGCCTGGTCCTGCTTATCTTCTGGCCGGACTTCAGCGGATTGGTAGCACTCATGATTTCTGCATTGCTACAGGCTTGGTATCCACTGTCAAACAATAATAATATTAATGTATAGTCTCATATAAACATATAAATTTACATGAAAATGCATGCCATTTTTACAGGCACGATCAAGTATGATATAATATCAAGTCGTAGATTGTCTACAAGTTAATAATGTTTCGACAGTTAAATATTTTCAAGTATTGGTTTTTGTAGGGATTTTATTTGATTGCATGGAGGATTTAATCATGAGCTGACATCAGTTAGAGAACCACTGGAAAACCTGGGAGTACTGGACAGCTGTTTCGTCCTAGTTTGGGACTCCTCAGCAGTACGCACCCACCGGGATTCGAACCCAGGACCTTCTGGTTACAAGGCGAGCTCGTAGACCATTGAGCCACTGGGACCCGATCCAATGGTCCTTGAATTCTAACTTATATATATATATTTGATATATATATATATATTTGATATATATATATATAAATACACATTGTCTGAACTAGGCTGTATAGTTATTGAATTGTACAATTGTCCTCCAGGTTGAGCGGGAAAATCGACTTCGTTTCGTTTTCATCCCGTGGTTGTCGGCATACGATAACCAACCAATATTGAGGTAAGTACAACGTTTACAAGGGATTGAAAGCTGTTTTTAGAAAAGTAAAAGTGCTGAGGTGAATCAATAAAGTGTAATGAAATGGGTAAGTGCAAGTATCACTAATAAATGCATTAATAAAGGAAACTCCCTAGGCTGACAACGTTCGTTTGCATTGTATAATGCTTCCTGTACAGTTTGCACTATCATGATGTCCACTTTTGGTTTTAATACATTTTTTCCTCATGCCGGTTTTTTTATTTTATGCCTTTTTGTGCATTTGGTGCACAACCGTACCCTCCAGAGAATAGGAATAGAGTAAGTCGAATCAAATTCATAAAAAGCTATAAAATGTTAGGTTTAATGGAATATAAGGAGGATCAAGTTAAGACGTTATTAGAAAACAAATGAGATAAGACATTGTGAAGTGGTATTTAAAGATCCGACGATGGACAGCAAGTTAGTTTATAAGATGCCCCATAAATCTGTGCAGATCCCGCGTGGTCGCATCTCAACAATAAGCTGAGTGAATGGTATATATTTAAGGGTAGAAGCATGATCTGTTTAGGCGTTCATTATTGTCTTTTTCAAGATAAAGATCTAAGCCCTCATAAAAATCAGAAATATCTCGAGCCTTCAAATTGTATATTGCTGTTCCTGCAGAATGGGGCGATTCACCTTAGTGATCACCACCATATCTACTGATCAGCTAACGCCACCCTCCCTCCTTCCGTGCGTGGTGTTGGTAATTGTGTACTTCTGGTTCAGTCGCAGGTAGTGGTCGATTCGAGAGTCCTTTGAAGTGATCGATTAATTGTTTTGTTTGTCCATCCTCCTTGGTAATCGGGTTCCCTTGGGCATCCTTTTTTGGTTTCATCATCTAGAGGCCTGGTTATTTGATATGACGTTCCGAGGTCTCCGTCGCCTGCGGCTTGTCCTGCTTCAGTTGCCGATGTGTCGTAGAACTGCCTTTTTTTCTTAGCACTCTTCTTCGCTTCTTTATTCAGTGGAAAACACATTGCACGAAGTTTCTACTTCTGTTGCCTAACTCTGCATTGAGTCATCTTCCCTTTCACCATCCTCCTCTCTTCTTATCGATCAGCTTCCTGGTATTTGTTGAGAGCCTTTCCTAGTTTTGTCTCCTTCCCCTTCCTAGAACAGTTGTACACGTTTCCTTAAATATCGCTTTCAGAGAGTTTCAGTGTTCTTCCACGCAGGTTTCCGCAGTGATAGCACGTAGTGTCACTGACTTTGCTCTGATCTGATCTGTAGTGGAGGCATCTCTTGTAGTTTTGTCTTTTAGTTTCCGAATGTTGAACTTGAATCGCAGTGACCTGCCGCCATTTTTCCTCGGGGATTTCAGCTTCGTCATGAAGGTTCATTGAACTACACGATGGCCTGAGCCAACATCCGCTCCCCGTCTCGACTTTGCGTCTCCGCTTTCTTGAGTAGCATTGAGATGAAATCTATCTAGTTTATGGTGTGTCCGTCCGACGAAAACCATGTCTTTTTGTGCATTTCCTTGTTCTTGCACACTCTGCCTCCGATCGCCAAATCATTGAAAGCGCAGAAGTCTGCGAAGAGTTCCCTCTTCGCATTTATTCCGTCTAGCGAAAACCTTTGGACCTATTATAAGTTCTCTTCCTACCAGTTCGGCAGGAATTCATATCGTACATGAGGATTTTGATGTCACACTTTGTGATTTGGTCCAATAATGTTCTCGATTGTCTGTAAAAATCTTCCTCCTCTCACTGCGCATTGTTTTTAGTACTGTGTAGCGGTGGATAATTGTTACTTCCCTTCCTTCTGAGTTGAATCTTGCTGTCGTGGTCCTCAGTGAAACCGGTACTTACTGCATTAGGGCTTTGGCCGCCACGGGTGACATCATTATAACTATTCAATGCCTCAGCGTGATAGTGGCTGTCGTCTGTGTGACCGTACCAAAGTAGATTACTGACTCATCAGCTGATAATTTTGATAGTTCATATTCATTCCACCTACTTTTGCAGATACCCAGCACATCTATGCCACCTCTTCACATTTCTTTGGCTACCTGGGCAGCCATCTTAGTCAGCCTCGTACGTTGCGCGTACATTCCACGTCCCTATTCTTATACTTGCTGTCATCAGAAGGAAAAGGCACATCGGCTGGCTGACTGACTTCCGGAATTCTTTTACCGGCCCTCTGTATCATTTCGCTTTTCCGATTCGAGCGAAGGATAATTTTTTAAATATCTTTTGTGGGTTGAAGTCTCTATGGAAGTTTGAGTGGTCTTGTGGTGACGTGTTGCTGGCCCTACTCCCAAACTCCCCCTTTTCGTCGGCTTGAGACCTGCTGAAAAACTAGCAAGCTAGCAAACTAGGCTAGGTTAATTTCGTCTATAGACAGAAGTTTTCTATCAATATAGCGAAATTCGCACCAATCACATTCTGGATAATGAATGTCAGTGCATAAGGCAGCCGCATGCTGCTCCAGGTATTATAGAAGGTCGTGACATAGAAATAATGGTATGCATTTGCTCGTTTGCAGCACTTTGTATCGAATCCAGTTGTTTTCACGAAGGTCGTTTGTTTGGATCACCAACCATATTTTCACAAAGTGTATCCGAGGAGCTAGCCTTCGCTAAGTATGCGGTTTAAGCATTGTATAAAGAATTCCAAATGTCCTGATAGACTTATTACTGGATAAATGATTTGAAACACCGAATTTCATACCCTTATCTTACTGTGGTCAGAAAGGAGGTCCAAGCACAGCCCTCAGTATTCTAAGAAAAAACCATGGGTGTCATATAATAATAATAATAATAATAATTTATTTTCATATAAACATAAATTTACATGAAAATGCATGCCATTTTTACAGGCACGATCAAGGATGATATAATGTCAAATCTTAAATTGTCTACAAGTTAATAATGTTTCAACAGTTAAATATTTGATATATATATAAATACACATTGTCTGAACTAGGCTGTATAGTTATTGAATTGTACAATTGTCCTCCAGGTTGAGCGGGAAAA